TTAGCGCAAAACAGGCAGCGCTTAGTTTCTTTGATAGAGCTTCAATGTGAAAAGTCCCATTTTAACGAGTTGTCTACAAGAAGTCCTAAGAATTTCACAGAGTCCACGACGTCAATAGTAGTGTTATTAAGTACAAAAGGTTGTATAGTACTTTTATATGACAAAACTTTAGTTTTTGATAGGTTGAGGCATAGGAGATTAGAATCGCACCAAGACTTAATGGTGCGTAAGTCATTGGATATTGTATCATATAGCGCCGCAACATCTGGACCGCTCCAAGTGAAACTAGTATCGTCCGCAAAGAGGCAGATTTTACCGCTAATGTCTAGATTTGCAATGTCGTTGATAAACACCAGAAACAAAATAGGGCCAAGTACTGAACCCTGAGGGACACCACATTCTATAGGCTTACAAGAAGACATAGACGTATCAATCCTCACAAGCTGCCTTCTGTTGCCAAGATATGACTTAAGCCATTCGAGCGGCACTCCCCCGAAACCGTAGTATTGCAATTTATTAATTAAGATATTATGATTTACACAATCGAAAGCCTTAGAGAAATCACAGAAAATTGTAGCTGTAGAGTGATGGTTATTCAGGCTAGAGTATACATTATTAAAAAGGTCGAACATAGCATCATTTGTGCAACTGTTACTTAGAAATACAAATTGATGGGTAGTAAGTATTTTATATTTAAGGAGAAAAGATAGAAATCTTTTTTTAACCAATCTTTCAATGATCTTAGATAATGTGGGCAGGAGTGCAATTGGCCGATAGTTCGAAGCTTCATCTTTATCACCTCCTTTATACAGAAGAATAATTATTGCTGTCTTAAGGCAGTTTGGAAAAACTTCATTTTGGAATGACTCGTTAATTAAAGTAGTAAGATGGTTTAATGTGCATTCAGGAAGTTCAGAGAACATTTTGAGAGTAAGCCCATCAGTCCCAGATGAGGATTTGTTTTTAATACTATTAATTGTACTACGGAGCTCATCTAATGCTACAGGCGTGAAGAAGAAACTGTGTAAATTCTCATTTGCTTTAGGGAGATATGAAAGTGATCATGGGAAGGAGTTATGGTGTTCACTAAATTTTTAGCCACATTAACAAAGTAAGTGTTTAAATCTTCAGGTGAATTAAAGACTGTGCCAGACGAAGAAGTCTTATTCCTTAAGTCATTTACAATAGCCCAAGTCTCCTTAGCGACATACCGGCTTTGGCTAGCCTCGCATTATAATAAATGTCCTTGGCAGCTTTCATAGTCTTACGATAAACCTTTCTATAAAGTTTCACGTAATTATGAAAGAAGACGCTGTCCGTGAATTTCTTAAGGTGAGATAATGAGCGCATGTTCTTTGCAGATATACGCAAGCCTGTAGTAGACCAGGGTATACCTTGTTTACTTTTGATAGGCCTAAGAGGAAATGTCTTGTACGCCAGATTAGACAAGGTATCCATAAATCTAGAAAATTCGGAATCGACGTCAGCCGAGAGGACAACCCACTCTGTTGTTAGACATAGGTGGTGAAAATTTAGAAAATTTTCATCCGAAAAAATACGGCCCAATTTGCGCGAGGTATTTTTGCATTTGGATTTTAGCAAAAACTTTGTCAATACTGCCTCATGATCAGAGAAACCCGAGTGAAGGACTCCACAGTCAACGAATTCCGGGTCAAAAGACGACACGACATAGTCTATAGTACTAGAGCCAGTTTTAGTTATTCTAGTTGGTGAGTCAACATGAGTATACCAAAAGAATGAAAAATGGACTGGAGAGACTCCTTAGCTGAACACACACTGGAAAAGTCAATATTCAGATCGCCACACAAAATTAATTTACTTTTTATAGGTAGGGATTCAAGCAAGGTTAGCAATTTTTGACTGAAAATATGTACGTCAGTGTCAGGTGTTCTGTAAATACAAATAATATAGAGGTCAAAAGCATTATGATAAACGACGGAAAATTCAAAATTTTTTTCGGATATCAGAGTATCGAACTTAGTTACTGCCGAAAAGTCGTTGTTAGTAGACATTATCATAGTACCTCCATGAGATGAGTTACTTCTATTGAATCTAGTTAATGTAGTGTATAACTGATCATACTGGCTTTAACAAAAGCCAGTATCTGAGACGGCTCCACTGAGGCCAGCTCTTCATTCTCGACATCAGCCGTACCAAAGTTCATGACACGAACGGTTGTCGTTGCACATTCAGTGATATGCTGTTCTGGTGTTTCCCTATTTTCTCCACAGAATCTGCATTTGTCGTTGTTCCTCAGCTTCAGCCTACTGAGGTGTTCGTTGAGGAAACAGTGTCCTGAAAGAAACCCCGTGACAATCCGAAGATCGTTTTTACTCCTTTTTGCGGTGCCGTAACTGTCTTCAGGCGTTGGCGATCTCCATGACTATTTCGTGGAAGAGTTCTCTATCTTCTGCTGCATGAAAGAGCCTCTCCACCCCCAGACCGGTCCAGTTCCGTATATTTCTGAGCCATGACAGTTTCTTTCGACCTACCCATCTTCTACCTTCGACTTTTCCTTCAATAATCAAACGAGGAATATAATATTTGGTGCCCCGCATTATGTGTCCGAAGTAGCTCACCTTTCTGGCCTTGATGGTGGTTAACAGTTTCCGATCTTTGTTCAGCTGTCCAAGAACTACCTCGTTGCTTGTATGTTTGGTCCAAGAAATTTTAAGAATTCTCCGGTAGCACCACATTTCAAAGGCTTCTATTTTATTTATATTCTCGACTTTTAGCGTCCATGTCTCGCATCCGTAAAGAAGAGTGGACCATATGTAACAACGTTGTGTTCGCAATCGGGTTTGCAGTGACAGGTTTCTGTTAGTGAGCGTTGTATTCCATTTTTTGAATGTTCTACGTGCCATTTCAATTCTTGCTTTTCTTCGTCACATGTATTTTCACTATTTGGCCAGCTTCCTAAATATCTAAAATGTGGTACTTGTTCAATATTGTGTCCCCTGATTTTTATCGGGATTGGATTAATTTGTCTTTGGATTAATTGTTTTTACTTAAATCATGGAAAATCTTTGATTTTTCTCGGTCGTAAGTTCTGAGGAACTTTTTCGAGTGTCTTAGACCGTTGCAGAACTTCCATTCCAAGTTACGGATGAAGTCTTCCAGGTTCCTCAGTTCCGCCTTTAAAACAGAACGCTTGGAAAACAGAACGGTTCTGGTCCAGTTAGTAGAGTGGTCGCTCTTTTTCTAGCTAGATCATTTGCTTTTTCACTGCCTTCTATCCCTTGGTGAGCGGGCACCCAGAGTAGGAGGACTTTATTTTCTTTGCCTAATTTGTTCAGCTTCTCTAGGCGTTCTTTAACCAACTTCGAATTGATGGTTACTGAGTTGATCGCGTTTGGTGCTGCTTGACCATCAGATAAGATTACTATTTCCTGTTTTCGATAGTTCCTATCTAAGATAAATTGTACGCATCTTTCGATAGCGTAGATTTCTGCCTGAAAGGTGCCCATTGATTCGCAGTATTTAGTTTTCGGCCCAAATACTCTTATTCCTGTCCCTGCTTTGGTTTTGGAAGCATCAATATACCACGTTATGGTATGGTCTTTTACATGCTGAGCAAACGTGGTTAACCACTCGGTAAATTCCTAAATTTTTCAACTTTTTTGAAAAAATTATGATTCTTTTTGAAAAATTTAATCAATTATTTGAAAAAAAGCTATTTTCATGATACCATGATAAACAAGTTTGAATTATGGAAAACAATTGAATGGATGACAGGTTGTTAATTCTAATACTTATTATTTTTCAGCTTGTATTCTTTTGCAGTACTTAATTAACTAATTTTAAGTAAGTGCGGTGAATTTCTGTTATTTTCCTAACATTTTTTTTCTACTGAGTTGATGATTTGAATTTATTTTTACAAACATTCTTGCCAACATACAAAAAAATATAAAAAATATAAAAATCCAACTAATCCAAGTTTTAAAAACCTAACCAAGAATGTTTATTAAAATAAATCAGCTATACTTAAATGGTTTAAACTTCATTAGACTTGAAGATTCCCAACCTTAACACCATCAAAATTGTATATTTTTACAGTAATAGATTAAATTTTTCAAAAATAATCATAATTTTGTCAAAAAAGTTGAAAACTTTATAAATTTAGCGAGTGGTTAACTTTAACGGTGAATAATTTTTGAAGGAGTAGGTTTATCGAAAATTTGTAAGAGACCTTTTCTGTAGAGCGTTCAATTCTGTACAAGAATATGTGATTGTCATGGCTGCGAGAGAACAAGATCGAGAGAAAAAAAATTATTTATAAAAAGTGGCAAATTCCCATGTAATTTAAATGGGAAATGAATCGTCTTTGGGGCAAGGTTTATTGTGAATATTAAGGGTTTACAATGGTCTGTTATTATTTTTTAGACAATAAACTAAAAAATTAGAGGGCGTCGTGAGAGAAATGACCTATTTGGTAAATAACGGACACCCTAGTGTAGTATACCGTATGATCGAATAAAAACGGCGTCAGCGATGGCTATGAAATGAAGATTGCTGTCATTTTATATGGGAAATGTCATCGATTGTCATTTCATAGCCATCGCTGACGCCGTTTTTATTGGATCATACGGTATATTAACTTAAAAACCTACTTACATATACATTTTTAGATATTCTTCTTCTTAATTGAATAAAAGAAAACAATAATTGAAAAAGTATCGTTGCAAACAAAAAACTGTTTTTCGAAAATCAATTTGTTAAAGATTCAAATTACATTCCACTTGTTTATGTCCAAAATACACCCATGTTGTTTTCCCATCGCATTCGTACACAAAATATCTCTCATAAATTTGATAGCATTTTCTGGGAAGCACACATCCTGTTCGCCGGTACGGAATCTCCTGCTGACCACCTTGTCCTCTCTCTTTCCTGCAATTGTCCGTTCTCTGTCCTGCAGACGCTCGACCAGTTTGCAAGTGCGATTTTCAATGATGTATAAAAAGGTGGGATGGCGTAGATAGGTAAGTCAGTTAGGATATAATTGTGTTCAAGACGGTGTGTGGAAGTAAGGTCAAAGAGAAAAGAAATGAAGTACGGTTCGGCGATAGTGGCGTGCCTGTTCGCGGTCACTGTGAACTTGTGTAAGTGCTTGTGATATATGGTTAAGGATTCGTAATTAGCAATGTAGTCATTAGTGGGTTTGTTGTGAATGAAAAAATTATTAGGACTGAAGTAGTTGATTTTTTATTGACCAAAACACAAAGTGGGCACCTTAAAATTTTCATGGATATTAAAGTTTTTCCAAAAATTTTTCTCTAATGGGTCCATTTTGGTATCTTTGATTTTGCAAACCATGACAATTAGAAAAACAACTTTAAATTTAAAAAATCAATGTTAATTTTCTAATTCTACATCAAAGGAATATAATATATAGGGTGAGTCTTAAATAAGTGCAAATATTTTCAGGGCTGGTAGATCTCGACAAAAGAAACATATTTTCTCTTTACCATTTTTCAGATAAGTTTCAAAATTTTTAAAAAAATTGATTTTTTTTTGAAAAAATTTTGAGGACCACCGGATTTTTTCTGTATTTCTATCCTTTTTATTACCGTAACCATAGAGTAAAGCCGTATCTATGGTAATATCAGAGATTAAGAAATTATACCGTGAGAAAATTTGCGGTGAACAGGTAGTTCTAAAAAGTTTTCGAAAAATATACAGGGAAATTTAAAAGAAAATACACGATTTTCAACATCTTTTTTTGCGAAAAAACCTCATAGACGTGTTCCTGGTGTCGAAATATACCACCCCTGAAAATATTTGCACCTATTTAAGACTATTTTTTAAACAATTTTTGCATTTGCACCACAAGCTGTTGCTAGGATATTCTATTAATTTTAATAGTGTTATTTAGACATTGTGAATGATCGTAAATTAAAAAGTATAAGCTTAAGATTATAAAAATTCATCATAATACCGGGTGCGTCTCAAAAGTGGCTCACCCCTATAACTTTTTTATTTTTTGAGATAAAAAAACGAGATTTGGTTTGCTAGTATATGCCATAAGTTAGGATTGATTGACGTATTCAATTATTTTTGGTCAGTTTCTCTTTCACCGGAAAAGACTACAACTTTTGATTTTTAAATGGCACCTTCTGAATATTTTTGGGCTCATTAGCATATTTGGAAAAAGCATTTTTTTACGAATAATTTCGTACCACACACGGTATTTCGAGTCAAATTGTCCTTATGAACCGCATGTTACTATTTCAAATAAACCATATGCAAAAATGGCAAAAGTTGACATCTGATATGTCATTCTATTCAGAGTGTCTTTTTCTACCGAATAAAGTAAAAAAATATAGAAGGTTGTAGTTGGTTTGGTTATGCCTAACCTAACAAAACACTCATAAGAAATTTTTAGCGTTATTATCTCCATATAATCAAAATATATGTTTTAGAAAGCTTCTGAGGAATTTACAAATAACTTTAGAAACAATATTTCTCTATAGATTTTATTTTTAGATGAGTTTTCTAAAAAGTTCTTTACTTCGTTTAACGTTAAAGTTTCTGCTATTAATTGTTTATTTGCTAAAGTTTTATATTACTTTATTCATTTTAAAAGTATATATTTGCTTTCATCAATTTTTGATTCATTAGATTATATTTGGCCTTGTAGATTTTTTATTACCGATAAATATATTTTTCACTCTTCAGTTACTTTCTGCCAAGTGATAATTTCTGTGTTGAGGTATATTATTAAATCATTATGGTATATTATTAAAAACTATTAAGGACATGCTCATATCCATCTTAATATGTATTATTAAGCTGAAGGAATATGATCAGGAAATTTAAATCTATATAATTATTTAATGTTCTCAACTAATGAACTTTTATTATGCATGTAATTAAATTATACAGGGCTTCTTAAATTGTGCCACATCAGTTTTAAATGTTTAATTTTGACTTCAAATATAATGAATCAAAATAATACGTTATTTATTCTTAAACACGTTAAAAATACAAAACTTTAACGACTTCTTTATATATTTTAGTGTAATAAAATCCTATAAGATATTTGACAATAAATACATAATTATTAAAGTTTACACTAAAATTTGCATTCAAAGTTACTTAAGAAGACAATGGAAGTCCGAAATTCTTTTGCTAAAGTGTTTTAAGTGTAACTTCCTCTTTGCTCTTACTTTTTTGCGCGGAATCCGAACCGCGGTCCTCAGTCATATCATGGTCAATAGCCTACCGACTTGGCGATTAATCGACTCTTAAGCTGCGTCCACATTGCTAGCGAGCAGGCCGAACGAACACGTGAAACACGAAAAACATGGCAAACAGTCGGAGCGAGATGTTCGCGACGCTCGTGGTGCTCCACGTGCTTGCGATCACATAAAATGCCTGTTTCGACATTTTAGTATGGTTTCATTCATAGGATTCGGTTGATCTTTCTTATTTTTCTTTTGTTCAGAATTAAAAATAGTTGTGTTTTGTTCTTGGATTAATAATATTAAATATACCTTTAATAAAATATAACTCTATATTTATATTGTCTACTTATCTTAATCTGATCTTTGAGAACTTTATTTATATTTTGGCCTTTATTTATATGCCTAGTACTATTTTTGAAATGCTTTGCTTGGAACTTTGAATAAATAACTCAAACTGGTATGTGAGTCTCCAGATGCAAGGAATCTTAATTTTATGGCCCATCTTTAACGAAAGCACAATCAGAAGCAAGAGCGCGAGCAGGATCATGAGCAATGTGGACGCACCTTTACTCACGAGATATCCGATCTCATCCGGTCTCGAACCGGCGCCAATGAGCAGTGTGTGTCAATAGATTTAACCACAGGATTTTACATTCTTGCCATGAAACAACAGCACGACGGAGTTTCCAGAGGGACACCCGTCCATCTAGTCGAATCGTCTAACGTCGCTTATCTTCGGTGATCTATCAGGAACCTTTGTTTCGACGTAGCTGATCTTTTAGTATCAACATAATTATTAATTATTCAGTTCTGCATCTCACAGTCTTCAACTTTTTATTTTAGGCAAAATAATCAACAGTTTTCGAAAACTTACATTTATGCAAAGTACATTACACAGAAAATGTTTATAAGACAAACAATAAAAATATTACAAGCAATACAGGGTGAGTCTTAAATAAGTGCAAATATTTACAGGGCTGGTAAGTATCGATAAAAGAAACATAGTTTCTCTTTACGGTTTTTCAAATAAGTCCAAAATAACCGAGTTATTTTACTTTGAAAATTTCCAAAAAAAAAATGTTTTCCTTAAATTTTGAGAACCACTGGATCTTTTATGGGTTTACTTTAATGTAAATTTAATCTACTACCTATGTTGCCATATTATCAAGAAAATATGTTTTTAACTAAAAACTACACAAATTTAAAAAAAATCCAAATTTTCAAAAACATTTTTCGCGAAAAAAAACTGATGAATGATCGTGTTTCTGGGGTCGAAATGTACCACCCCTAAAACTATTTGCACCTATTTAAGACTCACTCTGTATAACATTTTAAAAACAAACACAAGTTTGTTTTTAAAAATTAATATCTACATCTTAGTGATATAATTTGCTTTGTTCACATTGTTACTTCAAAGGTGATAGACATTGTTGGGGAATACCCGGCAAATTAGTATACATATAAAGATTTGAATTCGTATGTGATGTTAATTGTGTTAATTGCTTTACCGGAAATTTACATTCTGTCTACGTGAAGCACAATTTTCAGGCCTTTTAATCGTGGGTTTTCTATTCTTTGCTTTGATCTGTAGGTAGCAGAATAGCATTGTTTTCTAACCGTCTTTGTTCAATTTTAATATATTTGCAATACAAAATAGGAATAATAAACAGTAAATAAATATTTTGATAAAAAAACAATAGTAAAATTAGCTCGGCATCTCGCAAGAAAACAACTTAAAATCTACAAGAATTTAGTTATTACAAGCGCTGAGCAATTAAAAAAAAACTTAGAGGAAAGTCTAATAAAAGTTTGTGTAAATACATGCACAACATACATGCATTAGGATAGAAATTTACGTCATGACATGTCATTTTTTGACAGTTTTGATTAACGTTTCCTTTGGCACATTTTAATTTGATTTGAATTGTTATTAATTTGTTGGACTTTTCTGAGTTTATTTTATGATATTTCTTCTTTGATATTTTATAACTGGTTTAGTTAGTCAGTTGTATAGTCAAGCAGTACTAAAGGCGATCAACTCAGTAACCATCAAAGTTGGTCAAAGAATGCCTACAGAAGCTCAACAAATTAGACAAAGAAAATAAAGTCCTTCTACTCTGGGTGCCTGCTCACCAAGCGATAGAAGGCAATGAAAAAACAAATGATCTAGCTAGAAAAGAAGCGAACACTCCACTAACTGGACCAGAACCGTTCTGTTTTCCAAGCGGGAACCAACTGAAAGAGGAACTGAAGAGTATGGAAGACTCCATTTGTAACTTGGAATGGGTGTCCTCCAACGGTCTAAGTCACTCGAAAAAGTTCCTCAGAACTTACGACCGAGAAAAATCAGAGGTTTTCCTTGATTTAAGTAAAAACAATCTTCGGATTGTCACGGGGTTTCTAACAGGACACTGTCTCCTGAACAAACACCTCAGTAGGCTGAAGCTGAGAAACAACGGCGAATGCAGATTCTGTGGGGGAAAATGGGGAAACACCAGAACACCTTATCACTGAGTGCGCCGAGACGACTACCATTCGTGTTATGAACTTTGGTATGGCTGATGTCGAGGACAGAGAGCTGGCCTCTGTGGAGCCGTCTCAGATACTGGCTTTTGTTAAAGCCCTGAGACTGTATGATGAGTTATAACTCGTTGTAACTCAAGAAAAGGGAACACACAATAAAGGTTGCGGTGATTAACTCCCCTCCTAAACATTCAACATTCTAGTTAGTTGTATCCATAGAGAAAGCCCAATATTTAGCTTATAAAACAATCAATTTTTGATTTCTGACCAAAATTTCTCTTGACGGAAGATAATCAAAGACCAAACTGACATTTCTCCCAAATTATAATTAGTGGAAAAGTTAAAAGTTTGATAACTTTTTCTACTAATTGAAAATGTACTACTACCACTAATTTTAACGTTCTTAATGCTTACATGATTAAAGGAACAAACTTCTATGCTAATTGAAACCACTAATTTAGTCCACTAATTGCGAGGTTCTGAATGAAGCTGAAAAAGACAAAAATTACAATTATAATAACGATATTTTATTACCAAATCCTTCAATATACTCAAGCCTCTGAGAGTCTGTTGCAACGAACATTTTATAAATAATAAACGTGTTTATAGAAATTTAAAACAAACCTCTTCAAAATCACTTCATAAAATATTCATGAACTTTATTTTATGAGTAATAATGACATAATAAAAATATTTTAAGTCACTTGTATATGCAAGAATATAATTATAATACCTTATCCCAATTATTGATTCTTTATGATCTATTTTTTTTATAATTATATGTATATATTTGATTTAATCGGATTAACAGTATAATAATTGAATTGAGCGAATTTTAGTCATAGGAAACCCCACACACCATTTGAATTTCTTCAATAAATCTATACCATTCTGACATTATTTCTATATCTATAGTGCCTGTCATATTTTTTAAATTAATTTAACCATTATGGTATTACAAATACAGGGTGAGTTTCCTACGGTGTTTACGGTTTTTTTTCCTCTATGGGTATCTCGGAAACTACTGGAGATAGAGAGTCGGTTAAACGGGGAAAGAATTGCAGTTTTGTGGGGTCATAAACATGCGCCTTTCAGATTTTTGAAAAAGTTCATGGCTTACTAGATATTTCGAAAAAAACAAATTTCGGCTATTTTAAAAATTGTCCCTGACTTCATTATAAGCTATTTTAGACAAAAAGTTTTCAGATAAGAGTTGTAGATAATCACATCCTTAATGAGGTCGTGTCCTCCGTTTTTTTCTAAAGCCTGATGTCATGTTTGACATATGACACAAACATATGTTTTTTTTAAATGGAAACCTTAGTTGGCCATGACTTCATAAAAAGTGCCATTTTTTAAGCTTTTCAGCGATACAAGCTATAATATGTTTTCTTCGAAAAATTACTGATTTATAGCCAATTCTTATCATTTTTAAATCATTTCACTTAGTTAACCATGGAAACAAGTTTAATCGTCTTTGCTCTCATAAATGTGAAGCTGTCATATCCAAACTTTTTAAATTAAAATAAACAAAAATTGTAAATATGAATTTTTCAAATGAAGAGAAGCGTATAGGATTATTGGTTCAACTTTTCTTGACCATACATTTTCGAGGATACGTTGACCGGTGAATGTTACGTTTTTTAGAGAACATGTTAGAAAAGTTAAATTTAGTCATAGCCAATTCTTATTTTTCTTGACTATTTCACTTAGATTGTATGGTATTCTTATTCTGTTATGATTAATAACTTATTAAATGTCAGAATATATTACTAAACGGTTCTTTACAATTTACATTACACAAACTAAAACTTAAAAAAGAAATGTCACTACATACACTTTAAGTTATTTTAGAAAATGTTCAAAATATCCGCTATTGTTTTGAGTTGCATCTTTATAAAACTGAATTACTGCCTATTCTCACCGGTCGAATTAATTAAATTTCTCTCGTACCGCCACTTCGAGTGCCTCTCTTAATTCATAAGTTCTTTTGTAAACCTTATTGTTAACCATACCGCATAAAAAATCTAAAATGGATAGATCAGGTGATCGAGGAGGCCCATGCAATTGGACCACCTATCCCTGAGTTTGCATAATTATGATATAAATCATTTTTTTGGGTTGAGGGGGTTATAATGAAAGTCATGTTGGAACCACTCTATTGATGCGCGAGTATTTACACGCTTTTTTTCATTTGAAAAATTCACATTTACAATTTTTGTTTATTTTAATTTACAAAGTTTAGTTAGGTTAGGTTAGGCTACACATTTCTGAGAGCAACGGCGATTGAACTTGTTTCCATGGCTAACTAAGTGAAATTGTTTAAAAATGATAAGACTTGGCTATAACTCAGTAATTTTTCGAAGAAAACATATAGCTTATATCGCTAAAAAGCTTAAAAAATTGCGCTTTTTATGAAGTCATGGCCAACTATGGTTTCCATTTAAAAAAAACATACGTTTGTATCATATGTCAAAAATGACAGGCTTTAGAAAAAAGCGGAGGATACAATCTCATTAAGGATGTGATTATCTACAACTTTTATCTGAAAACTTTTTGTCTAAAATAGCTTATAATGGAATTAGGGACAATTTTTGAAATAGCTGAAATTTTTTTTTTCGAAATATCTAGTAAGCCATGAACTTTTTTAAAAATCTGAAAGGCGCATATTTATGACCCCACAAAACTGCAATTCTTTCCCCATTTAACCGACTCTCTATCTCCAGTAGTTTCCGAGATACCCATAGATAACATCGTCGGAAACTCACCCTGTATATACTGGATGTGCCAAGAAGTTGAACTTTTTTTTGTACATCAAAAAATGCATTTTCGTGCAAACATCAAAGTTATTATGAAAAAAAGTTATTTAGAAAATTTCACCGCCCTGTATCTCAAAAATTAAGATGTTTGGGATATATATTCATATGAAGATTTTTCTTAGAATAAATCCAAAATAACCCCCTTCAATATTAGCATGTCATTAAGGAACACCCCGCATTATGACATTATTATCACACAAAAGTTCTTATGGCATTCTCATATAATTCAGGTCATTCTGACGATAAATAATGTGAAATGACTTGAAACATAGATACAAATATCTGCAATAAATAAAAAATAAATAAACAACCGTACTCTAATGTCAAATTCATAAATATGCAAACTAGGGTGGGTCAGTGTAGGTAGATAAACAAAGAGAATTCCTGGTTGAATATAAATGGCAAGCATTAAAAAATCGCCTCCCAAATACTAAAAAAAACATGGAGGAACATTCGAATGAGCCGGGTTCTAAAAATAGGTCCCTAAAGTTCAAAAAAACTTAAATCCAAATCTTTTTTTACCAGACAACAAGCAAAGGATAGCAATAAAGAATGAAAAGGTCTTAAGATTAGCATGTTTATAAGAAAGTCCATAAGATGGAATTTCTTTATCGTTAGGTAAAGCTGAGGAATAAATAACGAAAAGGGTTTTAAAATGTAGGATGTCCCAACACCATTCCAACTATACAGGGTGTCTCAATATTCCGTAGACATAGAACTACTACCTATTTTTCGAATCAAAATAAGTTTATTGAACAGAATTTACCTCTATACAAAAGTGTTTCGTTTGCCATCAAACTTATATTTGACAATAAGCTTAATAAAAAGCTAAAAAAATTAATAATTTCTAAATTAATTAACGTTCGGGTTTATTTTTGATTGATGCCCTCTAACGGACAAATGAGGCACTTTTGTATAAAGGTAAATTATGTGCAATTAACTTATTTTGATCCAAAAAATACGTAGTTGTTCTATGTCCACGAAATATTGGCACTCCCTGTATATTTTGGAGGTCTGCTTTGAAAAAACAAATTCACCAAAAAAAAAATTTGCAGGAACATATGCCATGTAGCGTTTTTTACAAGAGACAAAAAATGTAGTAAACACTAGAGGGACCATTTTACGAAAAGAAAATCTGTCATCGGTGGAGTTGGAAAATATTTATACTAAAATTTATGTAGGGGTGGGGGTAGTTTTTACTTTTCCCGTACATTTTCTTGATTTTTGTGAAAACCAAATGTTAAAGCACTTAGCAAAACATAGACATCCAAAATCTCATTCAAATCGGACTAACGGTTCTTAAAATATCCAATAAAATGTGTTATGTGTTAAAATATATTTTTTTAAATATTTCTTTTTTCTAAATTATAGCATCCGGTTATAGCATCAAAGGTGGCCCATCCGCTGTTAGCGGTAGTTTTAGTAAGTACTACTAGAAGGGAGCTTTATAGTAGTTAATTATTAATTATTTATTTTCTAGGTTCTTCACATTCTTCTTCATCAGCGTCAGGTAAGGCCCAGTTTTATACCTTCAGATAAAACTTAAGATTAACCTAATGTTGGAGAGGTTACATTAGATTAGATTCTTTTCAGATATATTGTGGTCTTCTTCTGGTCCTTAGGTTACATTGTCAAAAAGTCTAGCAACTTGGATATTGAACCCTTCATATAGCTTTCTGTCAACGATCTATCGTTGCTTATTACAGAATATCTCACATTTGGTGGCTGTCGCACCGACATAAAATGTGTTTCATCGTTTCTTCTTCAGTTTGACAGAACCTGCTCATGGCTTCGTCAATCCCATTAGCCTCAAATGCCTATTCACCTTGCAATGCCCTGCTAGTAGACCTACTACAACAGCTCTGACAGTTAGTTAAATAATAGTAGCTAATTTTATTAGAGTAATATATAAATATTTCTTCTAACGCTTTTTTTTCTGTTTATTATCATAATATTCACTGATATTATTGTTTGGTGGCTTGACTGGCTTGTATGATACCGCTTTCATGTTTCTTCTGTAAGAGAGTAGGAGATCTACCAGTAGACAATGGTTTAGACTTTAGTTTGCAGTTTACCACATATATGTAAAACCGACTTTGTTTAATAGATTAAAATATAATTCTCCTAAATTTTTCTTCTAACCAGGGGCGCCAACTTTCATAAAACCTCGTGGGTGCTCATCAAATATGAGTAAATGTACCAAATTTCCAGATTGTTACATTTGTCTTATTTATTACACTTTTTTACATATGTAACATACATAATAATATTAGAAAAATATCATATCAATTTGTCATTTTTACAATTTTATTGAGTATAATTTGAGTTATGCAGAAATATTTTTTAGTACAGATACCAGTTTGTGAAAATATTAATTCTACCCATTACAATCGTGTAAGGGCAGGCATTAAAACAACAGACAGATACTGTAACTGTATTTTATAAAGAGATACAAAATAAAGGAAACTAAAAGTTGCTGAGAAGACTTGTGAGTGGAGGGATATCCGAGATTGGGAGGGGGACAGCTTAGGGTTTTTATATAAACAAATTTATCCGTCAAGACTAAAAATTCTCAAAGATCATACACAACAAGCTTTCGCATCACATAGCACAGTTCATATACATGGCCAGCTAAATAGATTGACAGTGAGCTATCGTGGATATGAACACACACTCCTAATGTAGTTTACAATTCGCTTCCAATTTAGAATAAATATAATTAATATACAGGGAGAGTCTTAAATAAGTACAAATATTTTCAGGGCTGGCAGATCTCAATAAAAGAAACACTTGTTTTCTCTTTATCGTTTTTCAAATAACCCCAAAATAAACCGAGTTATTTTACTTACTAAAATAATATGTATTTTATACCCATATTTTGAGAACCACTGTTTTATTTTCTGGGTTTCCTTTTTGTAAACATAATCTACTACCGATGTTGCCATAATATTAAGATATTATATTTTTTAATTATAAATTTAAAAAATCCATTTTTTTTCGAAAAAGTACCAAATTTAAAAAAGAATCGCGAAAGAAACCTTATGTGTTTCTGGGGTCGAAATATACCACCCCTAAAATATTTGTACTAATTTAAGAACATTTTTAGAGCCCCCACAAACGCACAGTTATTTGTTTTTATTTTTATTATTAAACACAGGCAGACTTTGCAGGCCAGTCTGTGCAGTTTAACCTGTATTACAGCCTGTCGCACACACACGCAATTTTATAGTACAGTTTTATCTAGAATGAACTGATTTAGGGAATCACTTCGGCACATTTTTTCTCAGTAAAAATGGCCTCCCCAAATACACATCTGTCTCGGATTTTATTCGTTTATGCAATAAATAAAAAAGCAGAAAAACAACGGTTACTTAAAGGAAATAAGTATTGCCATGTTAATTTGCTTGCTGATTTAACAGTTGAAAAACAGGATTGATTTAACTACCTAAGAATGAACGAGGAAACTTCCTTAGAACTACTGAAATTGACGTCTGGAATTGGGCTGGATGAGATGCGAGTGTCTTAAAGTTGCTAAACTAATTAGTCTTGATGCTTATATGCACGTGGGTGCTCCGCACCCACTAATTTTCTCTCGTGGGTGCTTGGGCACCCGAGCACCCACGCAGTCGGCGCCCCTGCTTCTAACAAATTGTCAAATATAACACAAATCATTCCTAAGAATATCTCTTCTTGGCTTCATTTTATTCTTTGGAATTCCCATTGCTACTTTGTATTATAATAAATTATTTTATTTACCTTATTATTAAATTAAGCACATATTTTTTATGTGTATGTTCGGACAGATTTATTTATTACCTTAACTGTAAAACTTTGTTATGAGGACGTCCGTCCCATTAGTATAATAAACGGCATAATATTAAAGAAAATTAGCTTTGTATCAAAGCATATATCAATAGAAATTTACATATAAAGGAAAGATAAAATGCTAATTGTAAATACATTAAACTATTTAAAATTTATATTACTCGAGTTTTTATTTTTTATACTATACAGGGCGGGTCTTGAATAAGTGCAAATATGTGCAGGGTTGGTAGATCTCGATAAAAGAAACATAATATTTTCTCTTTACCGGTTTTCAAATAAGTCAAAAATAACCGAGTTATTTTACTTCGAAAATTTCCAACAAAAATGATTTTTTCATTAAATTTTGAGTAAATCCACTGTATGTAGGTATCTTTTCTGGTTTTTTTTTCTTGTAAATTTAATCTGCCACCTATATTGCCATATTCAAGAAATTATGTTTTATAACTAAAAAAAAAAATCAAAAAATTCCAGATTTTCAAAAAAAATCGTGAAAAAATGTCCTATAATAGTGTCTTTGGGATCAAACCCCAAAATATATAAAAAAGATTTCCACTTATTTAAGGACTCACCCTGTATACAGGGTTTATCGCGCGACTGATTCACTAAAAGTCTATTAGGATCTTATTTAGTTACAACTTTGAATGTTCGCAGTTAAGGTGTACTTTCATTTTGAGAAAATTTCCACTTTTTGACAGTCAATTTGCTTATTTTATTAGGTATACCGGGTGTTGCATCGTCGGACGGGACATAGGAAATCCCATGTAAATTTTAATGGGGTCACTTATTGGCTTTCCTAATTATTTTAGAGAATAATCCTATTTAGGTTTATTGAAGAGCACTAAAACCCACATTCAAAAGAATAACTTTAGATATTTTTGATTAGCTCGTTTACGAGTTATCGCCGATTTCTTTTTAAATATTTCTCCTTTCTTATGGCCCTGTATTTACTTATGAGCATCAGTCAAGGTAAAAGATTGAGAGCATCAGTCAAGGTCAAATGAAGTTGTCATTTCAGAAATTTCCCTAATTAGTGCTTTATTATTATTTAAAACTCATTCCTACATCGAAAATCTTAAAGACGTATTTATAAATACAATTTAATATGAATTAAAGTAAAATAAAGTAATCAATTACAAGGTTAATTATAGTATTATTACAATATTCAATAACTTATTAATTTAGGTACTATTAAATTGTTAGAACTTTATAGTTTAAGAAGATGTTCAAATATTCCTCCATCGACTGCTAGACAATAACCCAGGCGATCATAAAATTCTCTTCTTACATTCGCTAGTTGGTAAACTGAAATTCTATTGCATTCGGCAGAAATAGCATTTTTAACTCGTTTAGATTTGGGTATTTTTTATCTTTGTATATCCTGTTTTTTAAATGGCCCCAGAAAAAGAAATCATTTAGCGAAATATCAGGAGATCGTGCTGGCCAATTTACTCTATGATTTAGGCCAATAACGTTTCCGTTAAAACTATTGTCTAAATATTCCCGAACAGCCAGGGTACTATGTGCCGGGCAGCCATCCATTTGGTACCAAACTTCCTGATTTTCCCTAGCGGCATCATGTAAAGCAGGTAAAATATAATTTTCGAGTAGTTCCAAATAATATTCTGCATTTAAATTTCGCGTAAGAAATAATGGCCCGATAATATTGTGTCCGAATATCCCTGCCCAAACATTTACTTTCTGTGGATATTGCGTCCTTGTTTCGACAAACCTGGGTTTTCTTTGTTCCAATATCGATAATTTTGAACATTGGGTTCATTATTTAAGGTAAACGTGCATTCGTCAGTGAAACATATGTTTTTTAAAAATTCCCTATCCGTGTTTGCTCTTTCCATCATATCAAAACAAAACGCCTGCCGCCGTATTGCGTCCCCATCTCGTAGCTCTTGGTGCTTTTCATATTTGAAGTAATAGTATTTATGTCGTTTCAAAATTCGAAACGCTGTAGTGTGATCTATTCCTATTTCATCCTCAAGTTTCCTTGTATTGATCTTTCCATCGTTCTCTTCCTCGCACAATAAAACTTCCAAGTCGGTATAATCTCTTGCATCTTCTCTTTGTTCCTGCCTTGCTTCACATCTGCAGTTATTTATTAGGGTACCTTTGGTCTCAAATCTCTGGATATTCTTTGCGATTGTAGATTTTCCAGGTATCGGTCTATTCGGATACAGAGCAGCAAACATGTCCGACACCTTTTGATAACTATTTCCTTGATATACAATGATATACTGGATGATACAATTTCCTTGATAGTACCATTTAATCATCAATATTTTTTCTTCGGTAGTGTAATTCATGGCTAATATTTTCGATGTAGGTATGAGTTTTTAATAATAATAATAAAGCACTAAATAGATACATTTCTGAAATGACAACTTCATTTGACAGTTATCTTTTACCTTGACTGGTGCCCATAAGTTATGCGCATAAGTAAATAGAGGGTCATAAGAAAGGAGAAATATTTAAAAATCGGCGATAACTCGTAAACGGGCTAATCAAAAATATCTAAAGTTATTCTTTCGAATGTGGGTTTTAGTGCTCTTCAATAAACCTAAATAGAATTATTCTCTAAAATGATTAGGGAAGCCAATAATTGACCCTATTAAAATTTACATGGGATTTCCTATGTCCCGCTCGACGATGCAACACCCGGTATATTGTTTACTAGCGTGTACCCGCGACTTCGTTCGCGTCGAATTAATCATTTGTAATGGTGATGATAAAGCAAAGCAAGAATTTCCATTAACATACAAACTGGATATATTTTTTTTAATTTCATGATAATCTGTCCATCATTATTTCTGTTTTTTTTTTATAGCATTCAGTCAATCAAGTTCATTCAGTGGATCCTTCAATGGAGACCAACTTCCGCTTATACATGACGCATTGAAAAATGGAGCCGCCAGTGGAGCTGTCTCCTCAGCTAATGCAGGCGCTGGCGCTGGAAGTGATGCTCAAGCAGGAGCCGTAGCTTCAGCTTCCGCTGGTGCCATTGCAGGTTCGGGCGCTTTTGCCGGTTCGGGGGCAGTCAGTGGAACACACTCAGGAGCAGGTTAGTTTAGATTCGTTATATAGAATTGAAATTGTCAATAGAAAGAAGACTAAATTCTTACAGTTATTAAGAGTCTATTACGCTGTACTGTTCGGGTCGCTCTCAGGGGTCGGGTAAAGCGGGTGTGTGGCCGAAGGACATTTTTATTATATTTCAGAAATCTGCCTAAGGCTTAGCCCGATCCTGCAGTGTAAAGCCACACCCAAAATTCCAAACACACGTGCTTTGATTAAGGCTTGATTAAGGTTTGCAGAGCTTCAGCATTTGCCATAAAATAGCGAGCAATTTGTTACAAAACCATATAAAATATATATCACTGTAATCACAAAACTTCAATCTATTTCCGTATTGTAACGGAATTTTAAATGATGTCTCTATTTTCGAGAAAATTTAGTCCCAACATAAGGAATATTTTATTGATGTTTGACCATCAAAATCTTCAAAATAAAGAAGTTGTCTAAAAATGTGCGACAATACGGATATAGTATAATCCTTTATCTTTAATTTCCTCCTTCATTTGTGGTAAAAATACCTAGCCAGTTTTACATAAATCGTTAAATGCCGAACGCTTATTTTACTAATTTTTCGGGCTAGTGAAATGGACTCTTAAGTAAAAATTTTGGGGCAGATTGTAAAGAGAAGTTAGAGATTGAAGGGTAGTCTTGACCGACTATGTAAATAGTAAGTTTTTTTATATCTTAGGTTCTCATTGCGCAATAAAACTACTTGTGTGCTATGCCAAACTTTCGAAAATTTATTGTTTTCTTCATCAGGGTGCTACTTTGTAATTTAATTCACAAAAAGACACACCGCTGTCACTTGGCGCCATCAATAAATTAATAAATTCGTATAGATATGAAAGCTTTGTTCGGGTTCTTGTTATTACCGATTCTGAACCGTCCTAGGACTCTGCAGTGCATGCGCAAATGAAATAATATCTTGATATTTCCTTCTGCGCATACGCATCACAGTTCTAGGACGGTTCAGAATCGGTAATAAGAGAAACCCGAAGTAAGCTGAAGTTAACAATGTTTTAGGAGCTGCCAGTGGATCATCTACCGACAATGGTTCTAATTCTGCATCAGGATGCTCTGAAAGTTCTGGCTGCGGTAGTTCAGTAGACACAAACGTTATCGGTGATTCAGCAACATCAACCGACGCTTCAGATGCTGATATTTACAAAGTTATCAATTCTGGAAAATACCAAACTGGATATTCTAGTGGAGTCAAAGGATCAGGAGCGCCGACCAGTGGAAGTTATGTTTCTGGAAGTAACTCAGGTATAATTTATAATAATCTTATCGGCATTTGAATTAGTTGCTAACCACAAGCTATTTAGAGTGGCAAAGTTTCTTGTTATTCAACAATAAGATCTAGAAAATTAATAGTTATTTATTATAAGTGTTCCACGCTAGAATGTTTAAACGCAAGAAAGTAGTCTGTCCCCACGTTGGGCACTAAATGTATAACCCACACAATTATTGATTTATATTAGTGGATTATGGAAGTATACTTCGAAATTAAATAAAACCATAGCAAATTTAAACTAATAACTTATATTCTAACACAAATACAAAATTGGTTGGTTTGTGAGACAGTCCTCGACAATATATTATATCAGATAATAAATAACTGTAATACTTATGTATGTTTTCATTTGACAAAAGTAAAATTCGGAGCTTGTGTCATAAGTCTTTTTTAAACCACGGAAATATGCAAGAAGATGATACTGGTATTCCTGCAGCAATTCTTGAGGAAGCACAAAAAGCCACTTCACGTTTACTTTTTAAAGAAAAATAAAATTTCGTATTTTAATTTCATTGTTTTGCTAATGGAATAAAGTTATTTTTCACACTGGTTGAGTGGATAAATTAATATATTTAGTTAAAGGCGTGCTTATTTTTTACCTATTCGATTTAAAAATCGCTAATTAATTTTACTGCATTCTCACATTAGTTTTAATAATAGAAATATTAATTTTCTTATTTTTGTACGGAATAATTACGGAATAATGTTTTTTATCTATGTAACTATGTGATTTTAGTAGTTTGAGTTGACGAATAATATATTTAGGTACTAAAAAACTAATTTAAAAATAACAAGGTACTAAAAAACTAATTTAAAATAATACAAAACCAGTTAACATGCTACATCATTTGAAGATTGGCGTCTGAATAATTATTTAAAAGATTAGCATCTGAGCAAATTATTGATAATTTACAGGATGTTCACTATTTCAGAAACGTTTCATTTCAAGTTTCTGTTTGAAACTTTTACTTTAATCTTCGAGTCATAATAATAATAATAATATTGAGATTAACAATATATTATTATTTATATCTGTATAAACATTATAGGGTGTCCGTTATTTACAAAGTTGATCATTTCTCTCACGACGCTCTCTAAATTTTTAGTTTATTGTCTAAAAAACAATAACAGACCATTGTAAACACTTAATATTCACAATAAACCTTGCCCCAAAGACGATTTATTTCCCATTTAAATTACAGGGCAATTTTTGCCACTTTTTGCAGATATTTATTTTCCCTCGATGTTGTTCTCTCGTAGCCATGACAAACACATATTCTACAGAATTGAGCGCTCTACAAAAAAGGTAAAGAAGGTCCTTCAAAAGTTATTCGTACCATTTAAGTATAGCTGATTTCTTTCAATAAACAATGTTTATTGCAGCTATACTTAAATCAGCTTAAATTAAATGGTTTAAACTTCATTAGACTTGAAGATTTCTTAATTCCCAACCTTAACACCATCAGAATTGTATATTTTTACAACAATAGATTAAATTTTTCCAAAAAAATCATAATTTTGTCAAAAAAGTTGAAGAATTTAATAATTTACCTATTGATTAACTTTAACCGTGAATAACTTTTGAAGGAGTAGGTTTATCGAAAAATTGTTAGAGACCTCTATGTAGAGCGTTCAATTCTGTATAAGAATATGTAATTGTCGTGCTGCGAGAGAACAAAGTCGAGAGAAAAAAGAATATTTGCAAAAAGTGGGAAATTCCCATGTAATTTAAATGGAAAATGAATCGTCTTTGGGGCAAGATTTATTGTGAATATTAAGGGTATACAATGGTACGTTATTGTTTTTAGAAAATAAACTAAAAATTTAGCGGGTGAGAGAAATGATCAACTTGGTAAATACGGACACCCTAATAAACGTACGAATGGTATTCCAGGCAGTGGTACATCCTACGGTAACGGAGCAGGGTCTGGATGTTCTGGAAATGGTGGAAGTTGTGGAAGTAACTATGATTCAAGTGCCATAAGTTCTGGTAAATACAATGGAAACGCTTACTCTGGTAATCAAGGATCAACCGTTGCGGGTAGTGGAAGCTTTGTTCATGGAGGTACGTCTTATTAATTGATCTCAATACTCTTTAAAACTTATAGCATCCAGTATACAGGGTGGTCCGAATTGTATTCGGAAAACTTCCGTAGCATATTGAGTGAAAAAATATACATTCCTGTGTGTTTTTACGTAAAAAAGTTCTTCTGGTAAAAATCACTACAAGTAATAGTTTCGAATCGAATTAGTCATTAGTCAATACATTTAAAGACAAAAAAGATACATACTATGTTGATAACGATTCAACAGAAACTGTTTTATTGTATTTTTATCTAGAAAAATTCATGATCAGCTTAATAGAATAAAAAGTTCCGAAATTTATCATTTCAGTCAAATAACTATCTAGTCAACATGTTTATTTTTTGTTAATAATGACATGTATTGATTATTTCCATTCGACCTATCTTGAAAACGGATATTCGTAGCGATTTTTACAAAGGGACCTATTTTTCGTAAAAAATTATAGAAATGTATTACTTTATAGTTTTATACAGGAACGGACGAAAATTTATTACTTTTCAAACCAGTTAAAAATATGTAGGAGGCGCCCTCTACAAGTAGGAGTCATATTGACATCGAAATCCAAATTTCTCATATCAAAACACATCCAGACACAAATTTTCATCCAAATATTATTATATTACTTACTTAATTACTTAATTTCATCCAGATAGTACTTAAATTATTTGGAAAAATTCGAAATAAAAATGAAATTTCTACACCCTGTATCTCCGAAAACAAGCACATAAACATAAATTTATACGAACTTTTTTACTTATTTTTAGCTACAGTATATGCTGCCGAAGTTTTCCGCATACAATTCGGACCACCCTGTATATGTTTTAAAAATTAAACTTAAGCAATTAGTTTTTTCAATTTCTATTCAAATAGCATCCTGATTATAAGCTACTTGAGCTTATAAGACTAGAGACGAATGATGCACGTGTTGCACTGTTGCAATAACATTTTTTATGTATATTGCCTACTTATTCCAACAAGCTAGTAGAATAAAATACTCCCTTCAATATTATATTGATGCCTGGAATTATAATTATACAACTTTAAAAAAAAGGTCAATTATACTTTGTTAGTTCCAAGATAATCTGCAGAGAATCATCTCATGACATAATAATTTTGTATTATTTAAATAGCTTTTTATTTTTTTTATACAATAATTATTTTGCAAACTTACTAGAAGATTGAATAGATTAGATTTATGCGATTACACTGCCACCATTTCAGATCTATTGTGGTTCTCTTCTGACCTCTAGATTACATTCTCCAGTCCTATCCTATTCAAGGTATCTATTAACTTAGAAACTGAACCCTCCATATAGCTTTTTGTCAATGGCTTATCATTATCTAATAGAAAGAACCATTTGCCCTTATACTTAAAATGTGTTCCGTCGTTTCTTCTTCAGATTGACAAAATCTTCACCTGGCTTCGTCCATTCTAAATGGCCAATCCCATCACACCTTTACCCATACAGCACATCAAATCACATTTACGATGTGTATACATTATTAGATGTAGACACAGGGTGACACACTTCCCCCGATGTAAATATGCTACGTTTACACATAGTAGTTCACGTATGCACAAACGTTAAACGTCCGTCTCACAATGTAGCCACAGTATAGCATTTACGTATACACACAGTAAGGGATACACAGTGTGCCGGAGGATACACAGTGCTTGTGTATTACGTTTAAACTCTGTTTACACATTGCAGTTGTGACTACCGCGTGTATACGTATGTATTTTGCTTCGTATATACATCTTCTGCTAGATAAAACTACTTCTTATGAACGAATTTAGGAAATAATACAAGTTTTGATGCCTAACTTTTCGTTCTTTTTAAGAAATATTTATTCAATGATACCAATTATATCTTTCTAGAACGAAAATTAGGAAGGCAAAACTTTGTATTTTCCAAAAGTATCTCGATCGTAAGTTCAAGAGAAGTAGCCTTAAAATTGTTCCATTTTTGTTCTGCATTAAATGTACCATTTTTCTTCCATAAAATGGATTAAGTGGTTAAAAATAAAATTCTTATATTTCTTTATATCATGGAACGCAATAGCGCAAATAACACAATAATAATAATTATTTACAGTGCAGAAACCAGAAGTAAGAAAACACTGTAAAAGAACAGAATTTGTATCAAAATGTATTAAAAATATAAGTACCTAGTATAACAACATACTAAAATGGTAAACACTGATGTATCGCCACGATTTGGTGGACCTCGTTTAGTCATTTTTTTCTCTTCTTTTCCCTCCAAGCAGTTGGTTTGTTAGCATACTCATTCATCGAGATTAATAATCTCAGATTGACAATCTCACCCTTAAATTTTATATGAAACTGATTATTGAATATTAAACATACCTGTATATTGATCCATCTATAACTTACCGAATATCAGTGTAAGAAGTTCTTTGAAGTGTTTAAATCTTTCTATCTCTAGTCCATTTAGATTTTTATTATTTCCAAATTAAAAAAAAATATATTGCAGAGCTAACCTCTTTATCATTATACGAGAATATTTGGAGTTTTCATTCATTGGTGTCAAAATTTGGTAAATTGAGTATCGAGTAAGGGAAGAGTCGTTGCTATAATATTAATAATACTCTTAGGAAGATGTAACAAGGTAATTAAAAACTTGTGCTTACCTTAAAATCTTTTTTAAACTACACACAAACAGTACATTTATATAGAGCTTCCGAATGATAAAACAATAATGGCTGCTAACACATACCACTCCTAGAAAGGAGAAAGGAGAGAGAACACATAAGATACACTTAGTCGGTGTATCTAAGCTCAGGCTATCCGCGGGTGCGCACACCCTTCATTTCATGCTAGAATGTACACTAGTACACTATTACAAAGTGTCTATATAGAAATTTATATTATGTGTATACGTCACATTTTTACAAGGTGTATACTATAGGCACAACTATGATACGAAGTATCACACATACATATGACATATACATTGTATGTCTCATATACCGACGTCAGATTTCATAATTTTAATAATTATTTGTTACGTTACAAAAAACTCTTTAGAATCTTGAGTGCATACGGTATACAACTAGTAAACATTGTATCACACAATTCTATCAATATAAACCTGCGTGTATCTCATATGTATATGTTAGAACTAGATGAACACTTAGGTTCATTTTAACATATTTGGTTTCTCATGTGTCTCCCTTGTAGAAACATAATTTCATTTGGACGTGCTGTATGGGTAGATGCTTATTAAGCTTCTATTAGTAGACTCATAATACCTTCCACAATATATGTCTTATCAGGTCTGCCATAAATTTTATTATAGAAGATATCAAAAAGATAAACTATATTTTATATTTTTTAGCAGGTGGATGCACTACTTGCAAAGGCCCCTTCCCAGGACCAAGCGGTAGCATTCACGACTACAAACTAGCCTCTTCGGTTTCAACTACAGCATCTTCTGGAGCAACTGTTAACATTGGCACCACTGGACCAACACACCAACCTTTACCAACCCCTCATCTGCCAGGAGCATCCGGTTCTATTTTCACCAACAAGCCCATCAGTGGTACATCGTACAATGCAGGAGCTTCTTCAGGTGGAGCACACGTATCTCCAGCCTTAATTGCAACTTTCCCTGGATCTCCTGGAAGCATCCACGACAGCAAACCAGCTTCCAGTATCTCAGGGCACGGATTTAACGCTGCAGCCAACTCAGGAAGTGTTACTAATTCTGGGGCAAGTTCTGGATCTTACAATTCTGGATCTGGAGTTTCAAATATACCATCGTCATATCCCGTAGCTGGTCCCACTTGTAGTTATGCTCCTGGATCTCCAAACAAATGTGGTGGACCATCTACTGGGCCTGGATTGGTGGTTGTGCCTACTTTACCTGGCCCATCAGGAAGTATATACGATAGTAAACCAGTTGTAGCTGTTCCAGTTCATGGTAGCGTTATTGGATCAGGTATGTATATAGGGTATGCCAAACTGAGATTTCATTAAATACTTATTTTTATTTCATGATTTCTTCTTATTGTATTTTACATTGTTCTATATTATTAAAGGTGCTGGATCTGGTTCATATGGTAACTCTGGAACCGTTAGTAACATACCAGTATTCCACCCCATTGTTGGACCTGCCTGTGCCTACACTCCTGGATCTCCAAACAAAGGTTGTGGTGCTCCAGTGCCTGTAAGTCCCGTAGTACCAGTGGTGGTTCCGGTATTACCTGGACCCTCAGGAAGTATCTACGATAGCAAGCCAGTTCCTACTGTATCAGGCCATCCAACTAACTCAGGCTCAAGTACGTAAAATTATTTTTTTTGCTTCAGGTACATTTTGAAAAATTATTCTGCATCTTCATGAAATTCTTCGTCTTGAAAGACGCAAAGTATACCGAGTGCGTCTCAAAAGTGGCTCAACCCTATAACTTTTTTATTTTTTTCAGATAAAAAAACGAGATTTGGTATGTTAATATATGACCTAAATTCGGATTGATTGACGTATTCAACTGTTTTTGGTTACTTCCTGTTTCACCGGAAATGATTACAACTTTTGATTTTTAAATGACTCTCTGAATAAAATGACATTCTGAATAGAATGACATATCATATGCTATTTTCTGACATTCTCGCTTAAAAAATTGTATTTTAAATTTCGATCTAAAATGCCATGACTATGTTAAAATCACTAATTTTTAATTAATGAGCCTTGGAAAAATAGATTTGATTATCTAATATTTTTCGTGTCTTGTCCTGAGTCCTGGCCGGTTAAAAGATGCCGAAATCGTTTTTTAATCATATCTCAATTTTTTCAAATGGAACAAGGGTGGCTCATTAGCATATTTGGAAAAAGCATTTTTTTACGAATAATTTGGTACCATACACTTGGTGTTTCGAGTCAAATTGTCGTTATAAACCGCATGTTACAATTACAAAAAACCATATGCGAAAATGTCAAAAGTTGACATATAATATGTCATTCTATTCAGAGTGTCATTTTCTATCGAATAAAGTAAAAATATACTGAGGGTGCCATTTAAAAATCAAAAGTTGTAGTCATTTCCGGTGCAACAGGAAGTGACCAAAAACAATTGAGTAAGTCAATCAATCCTAATTTATGTCATATATTAACATAGCGAATCTCGTTTTTTATCTGAAAAAATAAAAAAGTTATAGGGGTGAGCCACTTTTGAGACCCACCCGGTATATCGCATATCGCATATAGCATATCGCATATCGCATATATCGCATAGCAAACCAAACATTATAATGTTTAAATAATAATAAAAAATCTTAATTAGAGTAACCATTTTTTTGGTTTGTCTACCGGTTCATAAAGTTACTCTTATATTGAAACTTTTGTAGCTACTGGATCTTATGGTAGTGGATCTGGATCTACTGTAGTATCATCAGGATCAACAGCCCCAGCCTGCAGTTATACTCCAGGATCTCCAAACAAATGCCAAGGGAGTTTCCCCACAATCCAATACAATTCTGCCCCCGGAAGTTCAATAAATATCATCCCTAATTTCCCTGGACCATCTGGAAGTATCCATGATAGCAAACCAGCTGTGCATGGTGGTGTGACTAATGCCGGTGCTAGTGCTACAGCTGGAGCAGGAACATATACTGGATCAACAACTGGAACTGTTAGTGGATCTGTTACTGGTTCTGGAACAGGATCTTACAGTGGTTTCAACGCTGGATCAGCACATAGTGGATCTGTGACAGGATCAACAGGTATGCAAAAAATAGATTCATTTGGGAGAAATTGGATTATTTTAAGTTTTTCGGGTATTTTTTGTTCTTTATAAGTCACTGCATATCAATAAACAACTATTAAGCTTATCAAAATTTAATTGTGTTTTTTGATATACCGGGTGCGTCTAAAAAGTGGCTCACCTCTATAACTTTTTTTTATTTTTTTCAGATAAAAATCGAGATTTGACATTTGAAAATGACACTCTGAATAGAATAACATATCATATGTCAACTTTTGATATTTTCAGATATGATTTATTTGAAATTGCAACATGCGATTGATAACGACAATTTGACTCGAAATACCAAATATATTTATGGTACCAAATTATTCTTTAAAAAATGCTTTTTCCAAATATGATAATGAGCCACCCTCGTTCCATTTGAAAAAATTGAGATATGATTAAAAACACGATTTCGGCATTTTTTAAGAGGCCAGGACAAGACACTGAAAACATTAGACAATCAAATCTATTTTTCCAAGGCTCCTTCACTAAAAATTAGTGATTTTAACACGTCTAGATTGAAATTTAAAATACAACTCTGTTTTAAGCGAAAATATCCAAATTTGACATATGCTATGTCATTGTATTCAGAGTGTTATTTTCTATCGAATAAAGTAAAAAATACCGAGGGTGCTATTTAAAAATCAAAAGTTGTAGTTATTTCCGGTGAAACAGGCAGTGGCCGAAAAAAATTGAATACGTCTATCAATCCTAATTTATGTCTTATTATACTAACCTACCAAATTTCGTTTTTTTATCTGAAAAAATAAAAAAATTATAAGGGTGAGCCACTTTTCAGACGCATCCGGTATGTGATGGAATTTTTATATATTTATATATTTCTTAAAATTACTTTTTTTAATGTTAAATAGATTTAACGTCTTTTTGTTCAGATACTTTGTGTTAAAAGGTCTAAATTATCTATATTAATATTCTAATTATACAGGGTGGCGCACCTCATTCGCCTCGGTTGATTATACGAAAACGGAAAGATGTAGAAACAAAATATTTTATGGGTATATGTGGGGAGGTAATGTGGGCACAATTTAAAATTATTTTAAATGTACAGGGTGTTTCAGAACTAAGATACATACCAAAGTTATATTTTTTCTTATGGAACACCTGGTATTTTATTTCATTTTTGGATTCTTGGGCCCAAAAAAAGGTATTTATTATAAGGGTTAAATATGTTTAAAATCTTTGGTTTTTGAGATATTTAAAGATATTTAAATTATTATTAACACCCTGTACATTACTTTTCGGAATTACATTAATTACTTTCGTACATTACTTTTCGGAATTAGAAATGCTCTTTCAAACTATATTAGTGTTTCCTATAGATACCTATCTGGCTCAGATTTTGAATAAAAATTGATTTTTCAATAAAATTGTAATCAAGATGGCTAGTGTTGTCATGGCAAGTTTCTAGTGACAGTAGCTATTTTCAAAATCGGGATTAGTTTATGGACTTTTTTAAATTTATACCAGTTTACTTTTATTTAATTTACCTACAGTAGTTTAATAAATAATATTTATTGAATATTTGTATATTATTCTTTCAAGAAAAACGAAGAAGTAGTTCTTTGAATTATTTTACGATGGCTTGTAGATATATGGATTTTCTATAAAATAGCCAATTACGGCAAATTCATTTTATTCACTTCCAACGACAGGTTTATGCCTAATCTAATAAGTTTTTTTATAAACCATTTTATAAACCACACTACCAGCTCTGCGAAATACAATACCATTTTTCAGTAAAGTTTATTTCTCTACCTTTAAACTCAGCATACGAATTAATTCTGAAAAGTAATGTACAGGGTGTTAATAATCTATTCTATTGTAGCATGCAAATTTAAATATGTTTAAATATCTCAAAAACTAAAGATTTTAAACATATTTAACCCTTATAATAAATGCCTTTTTTGGGTCCAAGAATCCAAAAATGAAATAAAATACCGGGTGTTCCATAAGAAAAAATATAACTTTGGTATGGATCTTATTTCAGAAACATCCTGTATATTTCAAAATAATTTTAAATTGTGCCACATTGTCTCCCCACATATACCCATAAAATATTTTGTTTCTACATCTTTCCGTTTCAGTATAATCAACCGAGGCGAATGAGGTGCGCCACCCTGTATAAAGTAAAATAGGTTAGTTCATTAAACATTTACTTCCATATTTATTGCACGAAATACATGTTTCTTTTTTCTTAGGCTGCTCAAGCTGCAAAGGGCCATTCCCGGGCCCTTCTGGCAGTATTCACGATTACAAACCTGTCTTGCCCCTTGCTCATGCTCATGATGGCTCTATTTCCACTTTCCATCATACCAGCACAAGTTCACAAAGCTCAGCGGCTGCTCACTCTAGCACAAGCACTCATACTATTCTATCAGGTGGATCTTCTCTTCCTTCTTCCTATGGTAAATCATAACATTGCACTACATTCTTTTGATCATATCATAAATTTATCTGCGCCATATATAATTTCAAAACTAGTTAATCCTCTTCATCAAATTACTTTAAACTGAAAGAAATATATAAGGTGAGTCTTAAATAAGTGCAAATATTTCTAACCCTAACAATATTTTCTATTTACCGTTTTTCAAATAAGTCCAAAATAACCGAGTTATTCAAGTTTAAAAATAAAAAAAAAATTATTTATTTTAATATCTTAATTTTATTTTATAATTATTATGATATCTAAATAAATTTTGTGCTTCTTTAACATTTTAAAACAGCAACAAATATGATTTTAATTAAGATTAAAACGAAATTATATTATCATGGAAACGTGTTTTGATTTTAAAAACTTTGATAAAATTCAACTATATTTTCATGTTTTTTTGTAATTTTCTCTAAAACGGTATTGAAATTTGGACAAGTATAAACGGAATTAACCATTTTAGGACAAGCAAAAATTTTTATGAAGAATAAATTTTTCTCAAAACATCAATAATAAAAAGGTTTTTTTCCTCTTGTAAAGACAATCCGGGAACATACTGTATAATATCAGAGATCAAGAAACTATAGCGTGAGTAAATTTGCGATGAACCGGCGGTTCTAAAAAGCTTTCTAAAATATACAGAAATATTTAAAAGAAAACACCATTTTCAACATCTTTTTATGCACCATTTTCAACATTTTTTTATGCACCATTTTCAACATCTTTTTTTTGCGAAAAAAACTCATATAGCCTGTCCAACGACAAAATTCTTGACCTACATATGTAATCTACCTATGTTGCCATATTGTTAAGATATTATCTTTAGAGAAATACAACATTTTCAGCATTTTTTTATTCGTGAAAAATCGTGTTTGTGGGATCAAAATATTATATGTATCCTGTATACCACCCCTAAAATTATGTGCGTTTATTTAAGACTCACCCTGTATAGTTTGTTAGAATCTATCTCAGTTGCTCTAGGCATTATATAATTTTTTTGTAAAGATTTATTAACTAATTTTTATTTCTGATGTATTTTAAAGATTTTATTAAACTGCTGCGTATTGCACAGAAATTAAAAAAAAACATAGAAAATTTATAAACGCTATTGCCTATCGAGTAATTATTGTGATGTTGGACAAAAATTTAGTTATTTTAAAAATAAAAAAAGTTTTTCGGATACCGGGAATCGAACCCGAGCCTCCTGGGTGAAAGCCAGGTATCCTAGCCACTAGACCATATCGGAGTGTACAGTTAATTTCGAAATGTTAAAGAAAACCTTCAACCAGTCTCGTTTAAAATTAAATTTGTTCTCTTTTCGATTTGTAATATTTTTTTCAAACTTAATCTATTTTTAAAATTTCCTGTAATCTCATTCTGTATATATTTTTAGAACCTGATGTTCCCGCGCCTTCTGTTCATCCAGAAGTGCCAACTTCCGGAACTTATTACATTAATAAACCATCATTGGTTCCTTCAAACGAATTGGAAGTACCCTATTTGCATGGTTCACCTAGCTTTAGCGGACAAATTCCCTGCTCTAGTGGTGATTGTGGATCTTATGGTTCTACTCAAGGTATCTAATAAAAATTTTGTTTCTAAAGCGGCGTTTACACGATGCAAGTTTTGCTTGCGCAAATACTGGTTTGCGAGTACTTGCAACTAAACATTTTAAAATTGTATGTTCACACTAGTCAAGAGTCAAGTTATTGTGCAAGAACTATGGATACCACAGAGATTGTTAAATACGGTGTAAATATTTTATGTCATACGTTAAGTGTGACGAAGTGCGTACTTTGTTAGAAAAAAATCAAAAAACAAGAGTATATGGGTAAAACCATGGATAAATCTGAGGAAAAACTGTTTATTCCAAAACTCTTTCAGAGGCAGCATCTCATAATTTTATTTCGATAGTGTACACTAAGGTGTACTCTTCTAACGATCTACAAACATTCGTGCTTTTCGTAAATTGTTAAAAACCTCATAATTTGGTCGTGAGACAACCTGCTTGAGGCCATTTTTTCGTGCAACTGCTACTGCAAGAACTTGACAACGTGTTTACATGTAAAATTTTCGCTCTGCAAGTACTAGCGTGCAAGAAAAGTAGACCGTCGATCAACTTTCCTTGCAAAGTAATTTTTCTTGTACAATCAGTTGAGCAATTACTTGAAACACAGTTTACATTAAGCAAGTACTTGCAATCAAGTTCTTGCGCAAGCAAAACTTGCATCGTGTAAACGTAGCTTAAACTTACCTGCTTACTGCTTACAAAATAACTAAAACAGAAACAGATACAGATAAACAGAAACAGATACAGAATTGATTATGGTGAAAATTTGTAATCATTTAAAAATTGCCCACATTAACGTTAGATCAATTCTGCCTAAAATACATGTTATAAGAAATTACATTATTTCGAGTATGTTTGATATTATAGCCATGTCAGAAACTTGGCTTACAAAACTTGTACCTGATAATATAATAGACATTGATGGATTTAGAGTAATAAGGCGTGACAGAGAGGAAGGTAGAGGGGGTGGTATTTTATTTTATGTACGTAACTCTATTAATTTTGCTATTATTGGTGATATGATAACTGTTTATTCGGAACAATTGTGGATTAATTGCAAAATAAATAATCTCAATAATACTTTTGGCATAGTTTACAGACCACCAGGGTTTCTTAATTTTGACCACTTTTTGGAAGAATTCGAGCACAATGTTTCTAATAACTTATTAATATGTAATAATCTATTGTGCCTTGGTGACTTTAATGTAGATATTTTAAAAATTGAATCAATATATACACAGCGGTTTATGTCACTTCTTCAATCCTTCAATTTGACTCAGACTATCAACGAGCCTACTAGACTTGGCAATACCGGGGCTACGCTTTTAGATTTGATAGTGTGCTCTGATTCTAGTCGTGTTTTAAACAGTTATGTTGATCCCAGCCTCGATGTTTCCGACCATTTTCTTATTAAATGTGAACTGAAGGTATTTATATCTAAACCTAAGCCCTATGTTGTCTCATACCGTGACTTTAAGAACTTTAATCGCGAAGACTTTTTTAGAGAACTTTTAAACGCTCCTTTTCAGGATATTTTGTATATTCAGGACATTAATATTAAGGTGAGTGTGTTCAGTGCCCTTATAGTGAGTTTATTTGACTCTTATGCACCAGTCAGGACAGCTCGCATAACGAAAAAAAAGGCACCTTGGATCACACAAAATATAAGATATTTGATGGAGACTCGAAACAGAGCATTAAGCAAATATAAAAAGAGAAAGACACTTCAGAATTGGGAGTATTATAGGCAGCTTCGAAATTTTACAAGTGCTACTATTCAAAGAGAAAAAGGCTTTTCTTGAGTATAATTTACGTAACCGCAGTGCAAAAAGATAATTGGAAGCTTCTGAGAAACTTGGGTGTTTATTCCAATGATTCCAAACACATTCCTGATTCTGTGGGTAGTGCTGAGGATCTTGGCGAATTCTTTTATCAGTTCCGTTAGGCCTACCACTCCCGATCCTCATACTTTGAATTTCTACTTACATAACAGGAAGAAAACAAATGCGTCATTTGAGTTCAGGATCGCTACAGTTGACGAGGTACGCTCAGCTTTTTTATCGATCGAATCCGAAGCAGTGGGTACCGATGGTATTGGATTGACCATGCTCCTTTATTGTTATCCAGTTATTCTTCCGTACATTGCGCATATTATCAATTCATGCATAGAAACTTCCACATTCCCTTTGGGTTGGAAGTATTCATTTCTACTTCCTGTGCCTAAAGTATCCAGTATCACCAGTATGAGTGATCTAAGACCAATAAGTATCCTTCCAACCCTCTCTAAGATACTTGAGAGGGTTCTTGAATCCCAGCTGAGAGAATACATAAATAAACATAGTCTCTTGCCTCCGATTCAGTCGGGATTTCGGAAAAACCACAGTTGTACAACAGCATTACTCAAGGTAACGGATGATATTCTGGAGGCTGCTGATCGGGGTGACCTCACTGGTTTGGTTCTCTTGGATTACTCGAGGGCTTTTGATAAGTTGAATCATCAACTCTTATTAGCAATATTAAAGTTTCTTGGGCTTGAGTGTCGCGCATTGAAACTTGTCGAGAGTTATCTCTCAGATAGGACACAATCTGTAAGATTAAATGGCACGCTGTCTAGTGTTCGACATATTAATTGTGGTGTCCCACAAGGATCAATTCTGGGTCCATTATTCTTTATCCTCTACACATCACAGCTCGATTCGGGTTTGAGAGATTCAACGTCGCTTCGCTTATATGCAGACGACACGCAAGTGTATATGTCTTTCCAACCAGGAAAAATATTGGAAGCCAATGCCATCCTCTCTAGTGAACTTAGTATACTTCTAAAGACATCATCTAATCATTGTTTAGACATTAATCCCAATAAATGTTACGGTCTTTTATTTGGTAGAATACAGGCTAGAGACCAATATGAAAAATTGTTTTCTGTGTCTTTGGACGGAAAGAGGTTGAATAGCTGTAAATCTGCAAGGAACCTTGGTGTGATTATGGATACTCACTTAAGGTTTACTGAACATATTAACAAATGTATAAAAAAGGCCTTCATAAATTTAAAACTGATCTACAATCAACGTTACATCTTAAATCCTAATCTCAAAAAGAAATTATGTGACACCTTAGTTCTTTCACAATTTACCTATTGTGACTCACTATATGGACCGTGTATTTTAGATCATGATGCTAAACGCATTCAACGACTACAGAACTGTTGTATCCGTTTGATAGGCAGTATAAAAAAATATGATACAGGTATCACAAATAAAATGGCGGAAATTGGTTGGCTCAACATGGCTGGGAGAAGAAAATTTCATTCATACTTACTAATTTATAAGATAATCAATAATAAAAGTCCATGTTATTTGTTTGATAAAATTAAATTTAGGTATGATGAACATTCACTGGACTTGCGTCACAAGTTTAATATCGCTCCCCCTATACATCGCACAACTCTGTATGAGAGATTTTCAGTTATCAGGCATGTATTCTTTATAATAGAATTTCTGTAAATCTTAAAATTAACTCTTATTTGAAATTTAAAAGTTCTATACGACAGTTAATATTTAATTCTTCAATTTAAATGTTCAGATCTTATAATCTCCCGTCATGCCTCCATTTTAGTTTGTTTTGATTTATTTATTTATGTACTTACTTGTTAATTACTTTCTGTATAATTATCTATAATACGGGATTAATTATTGGTTGCTTTTTTTTACTCATAGAATTATTCTCTTTGTGTATCTATCATATATAAATACTTATCAATTATTTCATGTTTCATGTATAAATATTTAATTAATTGATTTTCGGTATATTCTAACTATGTTATTCTACCCTTTAGTTTTCTATTATAATTATTATTGATTTATTATAATATTTTTATATAATATATATTAATTATGTCTACTAATTAGGGTTAAGTTAGGAAGCTAAGCTTCAACTTCGCCTTTTGTGATTTTTTTAATTTCGCAATAAAGTCTTTATTATTATTATTATTATTATTATTATTATTATATCCATGTTGCAGACTTTATTATAGTCTATCAAATTATTATAGTCTATCCAACGAGTCAGGAAAGACTTCGATAGACGACAACCAAAGAATGACAGACTACAAATTATCCGTAAATTAATTAAATAAAATTACAGACGCAACTGTCACTGTCATGGATCCTCTTGTTGGAGAGACTGTACCTACAGGCTACAGAATACAGCTACAATGGAATTATTATTGTGATATACAGGGGCTGGTAAAAGTGCGTCGGGGCGTCGCGTCGGGGGTCTGTAGCTCCTAGAATAAAAAACTTGTGAATCTTTCTTTTTAAATGCAAACTTAAAGTATGTACTTAGATACTAGGATGTATTTCAGGAAAATATGTTAACATCTACAGGGTGGCTCAAAAAAGTGTGAGTGAATCGTGATGATTTTTTTAAATGGAACACCATGTATATTATTGCATTTTTGGTTTCCTTTCACTTAACTTTACATGATCCTATGATATGATGAGTAAATATGTTTCGACAGAGTCGGAGATAATAATAAAAAAAAATATATATATATTTTTCAGCATTTAAAAAAAATATTAAAAATACAAGAAATGTGCTGAAATCAAAACTTTCTAAAATATAAAGTAATTTCTTCGATTTTTTTTTAGATGGAACACCCCGTATATTATTTTTTTATTAAATGGGGTATTAAAAAATGATTTTTTTTTATTCAGAGTATTTCAAAATTTTTAACAGTTTTGCAGATACTTGCGGTATTATCTCATACGGTTCTTTGAACGGTAAAATACGAGAGAAAAATCATTAGGGGTTTTGATAAAAATTTACTGTGGATAATGCCAATCTGATAAATACAAAAAATGTTAATGTTTTAATTCTCCATCGACTAAAAAATAATATATAGGGTGTCCCTTTAAAAAAAAACGAAGAAAAATTATATTATATTTTAGAAATTTTGACGTAGAATTTTGAACACCGTGTATGATTTAAGATTACGATATTTATAACAATGTAAGTATAGACCAAAGAGCATACCTAATATAGTTTTGATTTCAGGACAGTACTTGTATTTTTAATAATTTTTTTAAAAAGCTAAAAGGCTGAAACTATACATTTCTTTTACTTATTTATTATTATCTCTGAAATTATCGGAACATATTTATTCATATTCTAGAATTCTGTAAAGTGATCTGAAAGGAAGTCAAAAATGCAATAATATACAGGGTGTTCAATTTAAAAAAGAATCATCACAATCCACTCACACTTTTTTGAGCCACCCTGTAGAGTTATAATGTTTTCCTGAAAACATTTTTCTTTCCTTCCTATATCTTTCTTTCTTTCCTATCTTCAAAAAACGCTAAGTTGGATAGCTGGGTATTAAATTACCTGTGAATAATTGGAAATAATATTTTTTTTTATTATTGTTCTTGCAGCTGGTGCATCATCAGGATCGGTACATGATACAAACAAGTACGAATCTTCCCCTGTACCTGCCCCTACTAAACCAACCTACAAGAATTCTGAAACTGGCGGATATGCTGTTAGCAGCAATACCGAAGATAATTCTGGAGTATTGATTGGTAAGTATTTAACTTTTAGTAAAATCTGTCCAACGGGTCAAGGCACATTTTGACAACAGACATCCAAAAATGACAGTAAATATAATTTACTTCTGAATCAAAATGACAGACCACTACTGTCACTGTTAGGCTCCTCTCTCTTCTTCTTTTTCTGCTTATGGATGTTTGCGACCACACTTTTCAGGGCTCCCTATCTCTGGCTGTGTGGATCAACGTCTGTATGTTACTAATGCCTATCCACTGTCTTATGTCCCGCAGCCACGACATTTTTTTCCGTCCCAAACCTCTTCTGCCGTCGATATTGCCTTCGATAATCAACTGGAGAAATTGGTATTTATGGTTACGCATGACGTGACCCTGGTATGCAGTCTTTCTTTTTTTGTATAGTTTTGAAGAGTTCACGTTCTCTATTAATACGTATGAGCACATCCTCGTTTCTTATCTTGGCCGTCCAAGGTGTCTTGAGGATTCTGCGGTATATCCACTTTTCGAAAGCTTCCAGTCTGTTTATGGCACTTGCTTTTATTGTCCAACTCTCTACACCGTAGAGGATTACCGACCAGACGTAGCATTCCACAAATCTCAATCGAAGCTCAAGGCCGAAATCGCTACAGGTGAAGACTTTTTTATATTTCAGGAATGCGCCCCGGGCTTGCTCGATTCTGCACTTAATGTCCCTGTCAGATGACCAGTCCTCGTGAAGCCAAGCTCCCAGGTACTTGAATTTTGCGACTCGTTCTAAGAATTTTCCTTCGTATGTTAAGCTGGCGTGCTCTAAACTCATCCACCTCTCTCGTGACAACCATAAATTTTATTTTCTTTGCGTTAATGGCAAGTCCCATTCTTTGACTACATTCTCCTACCATACTAACCAACTGATGTAAATCATTCATGTTATCCGCAACCAGAACTGTGTCATCGGCATATCGTATGTTATTTATCCAGACTCTATTGAGTCTAATTCCAATCTCCTTGTCCTCTAGGGACTCCTGAAAGATGGCCTCTGAGTATGTATTAAACAAGAGCGGCGATAGTATACTCCCCTGCCTTACTCCTCTGCGAATACAAATTTGGTTGGTTAGGCCGTTCGCTAATTTTACCCGTGCTGATTGGTGCCAGTATAGGTTTTCGATACATCGGATGTCTTTCCGGTCTAAATCCAATCTCCTGAGAAGCTGCATAAGTTTATGATGTTGAACCCTATCGAAAGATTTTTCGTAATCTATAAAACATAGACATGCGTTTTTTCGCTGGTCGTAGCAGTTCTGTACTAAAATATCTGCGTCGCGGCCAGTGCTTCCCTGGTGCCTAACCCCTGTCTAGATCCAAACTGTGAGTCACTCATGGCATCCTCACACCTTCCGTACAATCTCCGATGTATTATTTCCAGGAATAGTTTTAGAGAATGATTCATGAGACTGATGAGTCTGTTTTCTTCACATTTTCTCCTCTCTCTGCACACACTTAACTTGCACAGAATAGACAGACACCATGAGAATCGCAAGAAAACTAAAAAACTAAAGTTTTAATTCGTTTGTTTGCAGGTCCTGGTACTGGTCATTTAGCTTTAGAAAAAGACGACAAACCTTTTGGTACCCAAGGAGCTTTTGGTGGTTCCGCAGCCTTTAAGCGTCCCGAAATCAAAGATACTCTAGTACATGGTATTTTTTTTTAATATCGACTTTAATATTTGAAATCTAAGCTAATCAGCAAGTCCCAATAATTATAGATGTGCGAGTATTATTTATATTACCATAAAATGAATGCTGTTACAAATTACATTTTTCTTGGGAATCGCTAGAGAACTAGAAAACTTAATTTTTAATTCGTTTGTTTACAGGTTCTGGAACTGGTCATGTAATTTTAGAAAAAGACGACAAACCGTTCGGTACCCAAGGAGCTTTTGGTGGTTCTGCAGCCTTTAAAGGTAAATTAAAAAAAATATTATATCTAAAATCTAAGCAAATCAGCAAGTCACAATCCTATACACTCACCGGCACGAATAACGGGCACCTTAAAATTTTCATGTATATTATTATATTGTCTTCTAGTGGACCGATTTTCATGACTGTTTAGGCAATTTGTAGCTAAATTATTTGACTTTTTAGAATATCTTTCTAAATTAAAAATGATAGTTCCCATCGGTCAATTATACGAAGGAAACAAAAATGTTGATATTTGGGTGAAAGTTTGGAACACCCTGTGGAGTGTGCAGGGCCGTATCTGGGGGGGTGTTTTGGGGGTTCAAACCCCCCCCGAAATTATGGCTGAAAATTTTTAAAAAGTAATGATCATTAAGTAAGTAAGTAAGAACGAAACAAAAAAGAAGAAGAAGAAGATGAATTAAGATTTGAGTGTAGCCCAAAGCGATTTTTTTATTATGCTTTTTTCCTAACAGCTTTTGTACCCCCCCCCCTCCAAGCCAAACCCCCCCCCGAAATGTTGGTCTAGATACGGCCCTGGGAGTGTGGACTACGTTAACAAAGCAAAAACTGTAATAATTATTTTGTCATCTAGATGCATCCTTTCTCTATAGTTTCTTTTTTGATTCATCTCAATAACAGTATTTCTTTTGGAGATATTCGCTTTTGAAGACGACACTTACATTTTTTCGTATTTTTTACATTAAAACCATACCTTTGCCTTTGCTCCTAGTCAACAGACCTATAAAAAAGTGTTTATTTTTTATGTAATGTCATTGTCTTTGTAAAATCATATTATTATTGTCTGTTATGCAGTTACTCTAGCAGATATGGTTTTAAGTCCTAAAGTTGATCTCTAACATGATGAATTAAAACAGCAATAGTCGATACTTCAGTACTTAAACTATATCTCTACTATAGTAAACGCCAATAAACAATAATAATGTGACTTTTCAATGACAGTGAAATTATAAAAACAGTAAAAACTATTTTATAAGTGTGTTGATAAGGACCCAAAATCATTGCTAAAATTGCTGTAGGTCGTTACTGCCTTGTTTAAAAGCGAATATCTCAAATAAAAATAAAGATATTGCGATGAATCAAAAAATAAACTATCGAGAAAAGATGTATCTTGATGTTAAAATGAGATTTTTAAATTCCCTGCATTGCTAACATATTCCACAGGGTGATTCAAACTTTCACCAAAATATCAACATTTTGTTTTCCCTCGTATAATTGACAGTAGAAAACTTCATTTTTAATTTAGAAAGAGACACTAAAAAACAAATAATTTAGCTGCAAATTGTTTAAAAAATCATCAAAGAACAAAATATATTTAACTTTAAAATACATCAAAATTTTAAGGTGCCCATTTTTCGTACCGGTAATCTTACCAACAGTCTTCTATTCCAGAGGATAGTCTTCTTTCTTTCTTTTCTTTGATCTTCCTTTTTTCTCTCACGTATTGAAAAAATCCTCTTTTTTACTCACCAAACCCAAAATATAAAAAAAATATTCGTCTATCGCCAAAATGTTTAATAAAATTGTTAGTTTGCCAACAATGTGTCTTTCGCTAATCCCACTCGTTCGTACAGAAAAGAAATATTTGTTGAAGCGATATATGTTTAGCTGTTTTATGATACATTTTTTTAAAAAATGACCCTAAAGATTCCAGCTTAATTTTATTTTGTTATTTAATAATAAAAAATCTAGAGCAAGATAATCAGCTACTACAAAAACTACAAAAAAACACTTTTCTTTTTTCAGGTGGAAATACTAATACAACGCCTAAAGAATCTGGACCATGTGCTACTGGACTTTGCTTTAGTTCTGAACATGATGAGACCACTGACAAATTTGGCACTGGAGATGTATCCATTGAAAAATCCCACGGTTCACTTATATCGTCATCTAGCGGTGCCAATTCTGCATCAGGTGCCATATCTGGTTCCCATTCTGGCCAAGAAATATTTGAACAAGGATTAGATTCATCTAGTAACGATAAGGCTCAGTCAAGTGGCTCTTCAGGCTGTTCAACTGGATCATGCGGTTCAGGATTTGGAACTAACAATGGAGCTATATCCGGAAGTATTTCGGGATCAGGATCTGGATCAGGAAGTAGCAATTCTGGAGCAAGCGGATCTTCGGGTTGTTCCAGTGGTGCATGTGGTTCAAGCAACGGATTTGGATCTAGCAACGGAGCTATTTCAGGAAGCACATCCGGAGCAGGGTCATACGGTAGCCAATCTGGATCAGGTTGTTCTACTGGAGCATGTGGCGGTTCCGGAACTGGAGGCTCAGACGGAAATGGTTTTGCAACAGGTCAAGTACTCGTTCAAAAAGGAAACGGTGCCACATATGACATTACCAACGGAAATTCAGGAGCCGTTGCTGGAGCACAAGCAGGTTCCTATGCGGGAAGTTCTGGATTTGGTGGTTCCAACTGTAAATACGGTCTCTGCGCAGGGCTTGGAGTTAAAGGATTTGATGGTTCTGGAATTTTGAGCAACCTTTTTGGAAGTGAAGGCTTATCTGGATCTCATTACAAACAGGGAGGCGGTTCTGGAGGAATCGGTGGAAGTACGGCGTTTGCAAGCTCCGGATCTTTTGCTAGTTCAGGTAATTTTAAATATGCTTTATTTGGTTCAGTACCGTAGTACGATAAACTCTATGTTGTGATGTTGGGTAAAGTTAGTTAATAACATTAGACTACATGTAGTTAATGTCTTGACCATGAATGTGCTAAGATTATCTTTATATACACAACATTTTTACTATACATACCTAACAACACTTAAGAGACATAAAGGGCTATTACTACCGCTTGTTCGTTCAAAATGTTGTAATAAGGGCGTGAGGAGTTTCTTGCAACGGCCATTAAGTTATCTTGTACACTTCGCACTAAAAGAGGTTCTAAAAAGAACAATGTTCGCAATGTCTGCTAGTAAAAAATGTTAAGCTTAAAGTATCACAAGACAATTGATTTAAACCAAAAACTCGTAATACAAAACTAAAATGACGAAACGAATGACAATGTTAATAAATAAATAAATAAAGGAGGCAACTTGACATTTTTTATAGCAGAGCTACCACCTGAACCCCCAGCGGGAAATTTAAATTCCAGTTACTCAGCCTGGCTCAAGCCTCAATTTAAAAATCGCGCCCTCGATTACGTAACAAAAAGTTTAATTGGTATCGCTTATATATATTGCTATTAGGTATATTTTTAGTATTAAAATATATATATTTTAAATATTCAAATAATAGTAAGTAATACGAATTTTTCATTTGCAGGTAGTTACGCTGGTGCCAGTTCTCACTCAAGCTCGTTTGCCAGAAGTTATTAAGATAAGCTAAGTTATTGAGACTAGTGTCTGTGAAATTAATTTATAAGCCATACGAAATGTGATTTAATTTTTTATAGATACTTATAATAAATACGTATTTTAATAATATGCTGGAATATTTTCTTTAATATCCTTTTATATTTCAATTTTCAATAATTAAAAAAAATAAGTTTGTGCAGTTCTTAGCCCCAATCTAGACTTTAGATTTAAGTCTTTTTAAAACGTATTTGTTGTAGGCTCTGCTTCCAATTATCTGTCAAGATTCTGATACTTCTCCCTCTGTTATAAACCTACTGAACTTATCCCCATTCACATTTATTTCTTTTTTAATTTACCTTACATTTTCCTCCACAATAGGCATATTTCCACTATAAGTAGAATTAATAGCTAATCATACATCTCTTAAAAAAAATATTCCATTGAATAACTTTATAATGAATTGTAATAAAAAAATTACCCTAATAAATCAAAAACTATCTAAAAAATATTCCTAATCGAAATAGCCATGGCCTGAAAAGATTCCTTTAAGACGGAGTCGATATTTTGTGCCTTAAATTGAGTAGTCACGACTTATACAAAAACATTTAAAATTAGTTTGAACATTTTGCAATCTTTAAGCTGAATCGAAATAAGTTCTAAATATAGTTAGAATTATATTATAGTAAGGTTACAAATATTTTATTTCATTCCGCATTTGAGTATACCAATATTTTGGTAACTGCTTGGTTTCAATTTTTTCGATTTATGATTCATGTTCTTTCTTTGAAAAATCTTATAGAAATTTGTGAGTATCAGTGTTATAAGTGTATCGTGTATATAGGTATATAACATTACAGTCAATCAGAAATCAGGAATCAGTTTTTCCACTGAATCCTGACGGTAGTTCATTTCAAGACGATTAAATTAAAATTGATTTGTTCTCATTGATATCACAGTTTCAATAACATTCTGCCTACAATTATCTGTACTGAATAATTCGTTATATTTAATGTAGTTATATTTAGCAATGGATTGTAAAACAGTTATTATTATTTTACTAGTGCATTCAGATTTATTCAAAGTCTTTCTTTTAATCTCTTCAGTCAGGTTAGTTTAAAATAGAAGCCATGAACAATGCGTGCGACAAGAATACAATGAACAGAATCTTTTTATTTGTAGTAATTACCCAATATTTAAATATTTAATATCTTGCCATCTGGTGTTAGATGGTATAGTACACGAGTAATGTTAAACAATACAATTTCTGATATATTCAATGATAAATTAGATAGATAAACGTGTGATTTTTTTAAATTTTACGACATGATTTTTTAAAGGCTAAGGCAAATCACCTGCTATATTCTCTTTAATATTTAATATTAGTATTTTTTTATCTACACGGTAGATAGAATTAGATAGGCGGTTGTTCTAGTAACTGTCACATTGATGTGAAGAAACTATACTTTAATACAATTATTGTAGTACCAATACAATACTGAAAAAAAACTAATAAATTGTTTTGGGGTATTGCGGTAAAGTTTCATATTGTCTCCATACTGTATGATCGAAAAAAACGGCGTCCAGTTGGCTGGAAAATGATGATCGAATTAAATAGAAAATCTCCATATAATTTTGCATATAAAGTGACAGCGATTTTCAATTCATGGCCATCGCTGACGCCGTTTTTTTTCGAGCGTACGGTATAACTAGCTATATTGCCAAAATATCTATATAATAATTATACCTTACATACCGTGCTGGCAAATGTTACTTTTGGGTCTGCATTTACATGTGTGGAAGTAAATCGCATAGGGATAACTAGATAAAATCATTAGACATGTTTCTGAGCATCTGAAATGGAATTATAAGGATATCGTTAGGGTGTCATTTTTTTTTATAACGAGAAAACGTCAGTAATCGCGATAATTAAAAAACTCAACTTTTTAACACATAACAGGCCATAACTCAAGAACCACTTTAGATATTAGATTAGAAACTTTTTTTATATTCAAGATCGGATATTTTACAATATGTTTACATAAGAAAAATTCGATAAGGTTGTTTTTTCCATTCAAAAATTGTAAACAATCCATCTATTTACTTTTAGAGCATAGCAATTTTCAGCAATCGTGTAATTTTTTTATTGATAAATATTTTCACATACTGTCTACAAAGAAAATACAGCAGAAATATTAACAAAGTTCTTAACAAAACTACAATCTATTATTTCTAATAGATTTCGAGATATCAATTTTTGAATTCAGAGTTCTAATAGCGCGACCACTATCGAACACCCATTCAATTCCACTTATTTTTACCAAAAATGCAAGTGTTTCTAGCTTGCACTTAAAAAAACTCAAGCTATAGGGAAAATTACAACGACTCGTTAATAAATAAACAAATTAAGTATCACGAGACGTAATTAAATCGTGAAGCTGAACGCATGATATACACCTCTTCCTAGAACTTTAAGTACTGGGTATTGATTGGGTCAGAAGTGTCTAGCCCCAGCAGGCAACTATTAAGCTTGACCAATCAGGTTGGTTAGAGTGGTTATTTGGAGGATGTTAATTCACTTGTGTTTGTCAAAAACTCTAACGTGATTGGTCGGGCTTAATAGTTGCTGGGGCTAGAAACAAGTGATTGGGTCGACCGGTCAACTGCGACAAATTTGCTATATCCCCTTCCACGCCTCTTACACAGTTAGCCTGGGCCAAAATGTCAAGAAAAAAAATATATAAACTTTGAATACTTTATTTTTTAAATGCCGATACCACTGGCTTCAAAAAAATATAAAAATTATAATCGCCGACGTACAATTGGGGTCTCTACACAAATTTTTAAAAAAACTTTTTCAACCAAAGTAAAAAGCGCGCAAAAAGTTTTGTTAATATAAAATAACGACCATAATCACCAAAAGGTATACTTACTGCTGCCCCCCTCCCTGTTTCTAAATTCAGGAGGCTGGGTCTCTGCACAAATTTAAATAAAAATAGACTTTAATCCAATGGAAAAAGCAAAAAAATATTTTTTTTTCTAATATTTTAGTGATAAAATTTTACTTTATGATTATAAGTATTAGTAAACAAGTAAAACTACAAACTAACAATTAAGGAAGTACAATTAATAACTTTAACACACACTGAATTTAGACTAAAAAGGAAGAAAACAATTAGGTACTAGCTATAAGTAAATAAATAATTTTTAAACATGGTTACTGTTGTAGGAAGCAACACTCCTAAGGAGATTTTTTTGATAGTTTTTTGATCTCGGATTTGAATTAAAGTTTTTTGAGAACAACTTAAAGGAATGATGCACCTGCTCTGAGGCTTGAGCAAGCCTCAGAGTAAAAGCCCGAGGCTTTCTGTGAAATACTAACAAAATCCACTATATGATGAACAACAGCGTGAATTTTTGGAATAAAACTGATTTTCGTATCTCTTATTTTGTCGGAAAATTTCAGTATATAGGCTTCGTAATTGGTATCAATATATTTTCCAAAACAGCCAGCTACCACATCATTGAAGGCACAAAATACCTCTATGTATTTGTTGTCTAAAAAAAATAAGCAAAGGGCTTAGTGTCCAAATAACAATAATAAAATAAAGTTTTGTTACAAAGTAAGTACCAGGATTTAGTGCTTTAAGGACGTCAACTTTTTTAAGCAAGTTTCTGGCATTATTTCCATTAAATCTGCTGTAATGGTCTAATTGTATTCCAGAACTTCTTAGCCAGCTTTCAGCAATTTCCGGAAAGTCCTTTTTTAGAGAATCGTATATTTTTTGTACAACTCCCATCTAAATAAATATATAGTTGATAATTGGAAGATCGTCATCACCAGTTATTAAAGGAATGTTGACACTATTCTCTAAAAATTTTAATTAAAATTTGCAAAAAAAATAACTATTAAAAAAGTCAATAAAGTAAACTTAGCAGTACACTTACTGTACTTTTTTGTCTCTTTTATATTTCCACCTGTCTCCTCGTTCCATAATGTACTCCATTTGGAAATATCTTTTATGGATCTTAGATCTCCTCTTGACTGTAAATTTTTAGAGTTAACATCACACCAGGCACATGGATGGTATGATGATGAAGAATGAAGGCCCAATATAATCATTCTCAACTTTAGATTTGCGGCAAATGTGTAAGAACTGACTCCACAAATAGTATGGAGTTGCAAAATCTCAAACATTGCTCTGATATTTTTGTAGGTTTCTATTATTTTGGGAGCCAATCCTATTATAATAAGTTTGTTTATTCCGGTACTTTTATGTGTTTCTTGTTTTATTTCGGGATTTTCGTAACAGCATAAAGATAGACAAATTTTTAAAGATCCACACCAATCTATGCCCAGTTTTAAATGGAAAAAATCAGTAAGTTCACGTTTTTTAAACAATTGGTATTTTCACTTGGCCAGGCAGGCAAATTGGTCAAAAAAATCTCCTTAGGAGTGTTGCTTCCTACAACAGTAACCATGTTTAAAATTTATTTATTTACTTATAGCTAGTACCAAATTGTTTTGTTCCTTTTTAGACTAAATTCAGTGTGTGTTAAAGTTATTAATTGTACTTCCTTAATTGTTAGTTTGTAGTTTTACTTGTTTAATAATACTTATGATCATAAAGTAAAATTTTATCACTAAAATATTAGAAAAAAAATATTTTTTTGCTTTTTCCATTAGATTAAAGTCTATTTTTATTTAAATTTGTTCAGAGATCCAACCTCCTGGATTTAGAAACAGGGAGGGGGGCAACAGTAAGCATACCTTTTGGTGATGATGGTCGTTATTTATTATTAACAAAACTTTTTGCGCGCTTTTTACTTTGGGTGAAAAAGTTTTTTTTTTAAATTTGTGTAGAGACCCTAATTGTACGTCGGCGATTTTAATTTTTATATTTTTTTGAAGCAGTGGTATCGGCATTTAAAAAATAAAGTACTCAAAGTTTATATATTTTTTTTGACCTCTTGGCCCAGGCTAACTGTGCTTAACGATGTGCACAGTTTCTCGGTTAATTTCATACCTTTGGCAACGTGTTTACTGTCCTCTCTTTGTTCAGTACATTATAAACGCATTGTACTCTTCTTATATACGGAAATCTCGACCCAAGACTAACCTTTGCCAGCCCTTAGTATAGTTTATGAATTATCTTTAGTCAAAGTTCTTTAATTTTGACAGTATTCATTATGTTAATTTCACATACTCTTTATTAAAAAGTGCTCAATTTGTCCATTGGAGGGCATTAGTAAAAAATAAACCCGAACGTTAATTAATTTAAAATTTATTATTTTTTTAAGCTTTTTATGAAGTTTATTGTCAAATATAATTTGTGATACTGGCATAAAATTCCATATTTTCTCCAATTGGATTATTAGAGCATAATAGATTTTATTCGCCTCCATAGTTTGATGTGACAAAAAATATTTTTTGGTGGCATTTTTTTTAAAGCAAAAAAAAATGTAGTAAATACTAGAAGGACCAATTTACGAAAAAAAAATCAGTCGTCGGTTGAGTTGCAAAATATTTAAAATTTATGTAAGGATGGAGGTAGTTTTCATCCTTCCCGTACTTTTGCTTGATTTTTGTGAAAGTCAAATGTTAAAGCACTTAGCAAAACATAGACACCCAAAGTCTCATTCAAATCAGGATAAGAGGTCTTAAAATATCGAAAAAAATGTGTTCTTTTTAAGTTTGATGGCCTCTAATGGATAAACGAAGCACTTTTGTATAAAGGTAAATTGTGTTCAATGAACTTATAATCTAAGGGCTGGCTACATAAAAAAAACCTTATCATCGTTACATGGCTAATTTTTTGTGTGAAGTATCCTTTTGTGTAGCCATTATGAAATAGTCATGTCTGCCAGCGCGATCCCGGGATTTAATGCGGGGGCGGCCAATCGAAAGGGTGAAATTTTGACACTAAAAATATTATAAGATACATGAGTTATAATTGCGAAAATAGCTTTTATTTATTATTAAGAAACGCGAAGAAATTGTTGGCAGACATTTTTCTAGTCGCTAAAATGCCGACAGACAACGCGAAAGGGGTATGAAATTTTAAAAATTATTAAAAAATGAAATTTGAAGAATGAAAAAAATTATGGCATATTTGCATGCCGATTGGTGAAATGTCATATTTATTTATTTTAAAAGCCGTACAGCAGACAAAAAGATCGTGGCTCAATCAGCTGCAGACAGTTATCAAAAGCGCAATATTACTCTAGCGCTTTATTCAGGGAACGCTGGCCGCCTCATCCATTTAAGTATAGATAAATCATATAATATATTTTTTTATTTTTTTAATAACAATTTTTTTGTCTGCCCTTTTGCATACGGCTTTTTAAATTAATTAACAATAAACATGACATTCCACCAACCGACATGCATGTATACGATAATTTTCTTTTATCAAAATTCTATGCCTCTTTCGCGTTGTCTACCGGCATTTCAGCCACGAGAAAAATGTTTGTCAACAATTTTACACGTTTCCTAATAATAAATAAAAGCTATTTGGCTATTATAACTCGTGTGCCTTATAATAAAAAATTTCATCCTTTCGATTGGCCGCCCCCGGTTTAAGCCCCGGGATCGCGCTGGCAGACATGACTATTTCAAAATAGCTACACAAAAGGATATTTCACACAAAACATTAGCCATGTAACGATAATAAGGTTTTTTATGTAGCCAGCTCTCGGTCTATTATATTATTTCCAAAAATACATAGTATTTCTTTGTCCACGGAATATTGGAATACCCTGTATATCATTTTACTGCACATGTTGAAATTTTTATTACCCATATGGTTAAACAAAAGTTATATCAATATGTATTAAGGGTATTACTATTAAATTTCCTTAATAGGTAGAGGATAGAGCAGATAGAGCGGTAATAGAATAATATGCAGTATTTAACTGAAATTGTGATCGAAATTATTGAATTAACGAATATAATTAACTAAAAATTATGAACAATAATCAAAGATATAAGAATTTTACTTTTATATAAAAAAATATTACGTAAATATTTATAAAAAAATACTTAATTGAATTCTTAAGCTATCATGATTTATGTAAACTAAAGGTCACTCTAAATTATCCTTTAATATCATACTGGCTAGATATTTATAAAGTTCACAGGTAATTTTATAAAATATTATACCGAGTGCGTCTCAAAAAGTGGCTCACCCCTATAACTTTTTTATTTTTTCAGATAAAAAAAAACGAGATTTGGTATGTTAGTATATGACATAAATTAGGATTGATTGACGTATTCAATTGTTTCTGGTCACTTCCTGTTTCACCGGAAATGACTACAACTTTTGATTTTTAAATGGCATCCTCGGTTTTTTTTTACTTTATTCGATAGAAAATAACATTCTGAATAGAATAACATATCATATGTCAACCTTTGACATTCTCGCTTAATAAAAAATCGTATTTTAAAATTCAATCTAGAGTGCCATGGCTATGTTAAAATATATTTGACCGTCTAATGTTTTTAATGTCTTATCCTGACCAGTTATAGAAAATGCTCAAATCGTATTTTTAATAATATCTCAATTTTTTCAAATGGAACGAGGGTGGCTCATTAGCATATTTGGAAAAAGTATTTTTTTACGAATAATTTGATACCACACACTTGGTATTTCGAGTCAAATTTTCGTTTCGAACCGCAAGTTATAATTTCAAATAAACCATATGCGAAAGTGTCAAAAATTGACATATGATATGTCATTCTATTCAGAGTGTTATTTTCTATGGAAAAAAGTAAAAATATTCCCAGGTTGCCATTTAAAAATCAAAAGTTGTAGTCATTTCCAGTGAAACAGGAAGTGACCGAAAACAATTGAATACGTTAATCAATCCTAATTTATGTCATATACTAACATGCCAAATCTCGTTTTTTTTAACTGAAAAAATAAAAAAGTTATAGGGATGAGCCAGTTTTGAGACGCACCCGGTATATCTTTAAATCTCAAATATACCCGTAGAATAAACCTAACATTGAAATTACTATTCCATGTGAATAAATGTCCATTTTACACAAATGTACATAGTAGACCATCTTTCATTATTTTAATATTTTTATAAACTATAGTAGTTTAATACAAATAACTTTATTAATTATTATTATTATTAAACTGCTATAGTTTATAAAAATCGTAAAGTAAAATATTACTATTTTTTTAAGTTTCTGTACTGTCTTTTTTTGGTCTTTTGGCATATGTTAAATTGTATTTAAATGGTATTAATATGGAAAATATGAGATGTTGGAAAGGTAAATAATACATAAGAAAATAATGCCTAGTATATAATATGTAACTAAAGTTCAGGTGTGTTAGATTTTTACCAAGAATGATCATAAAAATATTATGAATTATGAAATATTCTTATTGTAATTTTATATTGAATTCCTCATAATTTGAAGTTATTTTTTAAATTGTTTAATAAAAACACTTACTTCTTAGAAAAAAATATATTATAAAAAATAGTACAAAAGTAATTTACAAAATATGTACAGGTTTTTCAGACAGGAATCATTGTGATTCTGTAGAGGTGCAGAAGATAGAGATGTCAGCTGCTTTCAGCTGTTTTCCAAATACTGAATTTTGGCGTCATCATGATAGCTAAACTTACCACCATCCACCTAAAAAAAAATTAAATTAAAATTTCGATATACATAATAAAAAAGTATGCCATTCAGTTGACAGAACTACACAGTGGACCAACAAAAGTTGGGGATTAATTAACAATCTTCAAAAATGGGATTAGGTTGAAAGATATTGATGTCAAAGCATAAAAAAAGTTTGTGTATTGTTGTATTGGCTTTGGGTATTGGTTGTTGTTGTACAGGGTGGCGCCTCTCATAAGACGCGGAGGCTTTGAAAGAATTTTATAAAAATATATACAGTCCTGCAGGGTGTCCCCAAAAAACTTACGCATCGAAGTTGTTTTTTTTTGTAATGGAACACCCTACATAATAATTGATTTTCGGATTCTAGGAAAAAAATAAAAGTGAGTTTTATTAAAGAAGCATATTATGCTTAAATTGTAAGGATTTTGAGATATGACGACAATAGTTGGTCGAGTTTTTGTAAACACAGTCTTTAACATACCCCAATAAAAAAGTCAAGTCTAGATAAATTAGGAACATTTAAGTATTCTATAAAATAGTGAGTATGCAGTCACCAACTAATAGAATCATATCAATTCTCTCTGATGTAGGATCACTTTCCATTTTTGGCAAATTTCTGAGATTTTTTTTTTATTTTAACTGACACAGAATGATAACTAGTTGTTAAAGTTGAACTAATTTCACAGCTATGTTGAAGTACGCACAATTTAGTAAAGTTTGTTACCTTTTCCACCTCCGTAACCACCGCCGCCACCGCCTCCGTATCCACCTCCGAAACCGCCCCCGTGTCCACCGCCGCCTCCATATCCGCCACCGCCGCCTCCGCTGGTGATGATTTTGATGATTTTAATGCCGCCTCCACTGCCGCCTCCATATCCACCGCCGCCTCCGCCAGATTTCCAGCCGCCTCCGCCGCCGGATTGCCAGCCGCTACCGCCAGATTGCCAGCCGCCTCCTGAAGAAAAATATACTCTAAAATTTGTAGAACTAATAGAGAGGAAGATTTATATTATGTAAATAATGTACAACTATTTTGATCTACTGTTGTTTAATAAGGTATACAAAATTGGTCATATTCCAGCAGACTGGCTAAAATCTGTCTTCATTCCTTTACCTAAAAAACTAAATGCTAAAAAATGTTCAGACTGTAAACTTATCAGTCTAATAAGTTATGTGCTCAAACTACTTCTTCAAAAAAGAATTGCAACAAGTGCGAGCAACTTGGTTTCAGACGATGCATGGGAACCAGGGAAGCTCTATTTACGATGGAAACGCTTCTGCAGAGGTGTTGGGAAGTAAGAAGACCGGTATATGCCTTATTGATTTTAAAAAAGCATTCGATCATGTCTGATTTCGCATTTGTATTGGAACCAAACAGCTACTATTACCGTGAATAACAGAGAATCTAGACCTGCTAATATTGAACAAGGCTTGTGACAGGGGTGCATACTCTCGCCCACCCTCTTCAACGTTTTTTTTAAGAAAACATATTTAGAGAATCCCTAAGTGGCCAAAAAGGAATTGTAATAGGAGGCGAAATAGTTAATAATATCAGATATGCCGACGATACCGTAATTTTAGCAGAAAATCTCGTAGATCTACAAGAATTGATAAATAAAGCTTGTAAGAATTGGGGTTGGGGGTTAAGTAGATGGAATGGTTGTGAGTAAAGTAGATGTCGGCGAGATCCCATTATTGTTGAATGGGAAAACGTTGGAAAGAGTGGCGAAGATTAAATACCTAGGCTGTTGGATTAACCAACATATCGATCCTTCATTCGAAATCAGATGTCGTATAGAACAAGCAAGAGATACATTTCAGAAGTTTAAGTCGCTGCTCTCAAATAGTTCACTAAACATCAAAATACGGGAGAAGTTTACAAAGTGTTATGTGTGGTCGATTTTTTTGTATGGATGTGAGACGTGGACACTTAATAAAGAAACGATAAATAAAATCGAAGCATTTGAAATGTGGACATACAGAAGAATGCTTAGAATATCTTGGACCACCAGAACCAGAAATGAAGAAGTTCTTCGAAGAATGGAGCACGACAGACTACTTCTGAATATTATCAAGCGACGAAAACTTGAATACCTTGGCCATATAACCAGCGGACCTCGTTATGAATTTCTCCGACTGATCCTTAACGGAAAAATCGAAGGAAAGAAGTGGATTGGGCTCAAGAGGTTTTCGTGGTTGAGGAACTTGCGGCAATGGACAGGCTTGAGTGCGGATGAATTACTCCATGTAGCGCAAGATCGAGAGCGATACAGAGATATTGTTAACATGGCAGTCGTCAACGTTCACTAGGAACATGACACTTGAAGAAGAAGATTTTGATCTATAGCAATATCTATACCGGGTGGTGCATCGTTGTTTGAAACATAGGAAATCCCATGCAAATTTTGAACTGTCCAAATATTGGCTCCCCTATTAATTTTAAAGCTAAGTCGCAAATAGGTTTTTTAAAGGTCTGCTTATGCTGAATACACACGCCAAATTTGAATAATTTTGGATAAGCCGATTTCAAGAAATTTAAGAAAAACTGCATCTATTTTTAAATTGAAACTGAACAGGTAACAATGCAAAACCAGTCAACATACCTAAAGTTGTCAAATTATGATTTTATCATTGTTAAATGTAATTTGTTATGCTCTCTACATTTCTACGCAGTAGCGCATCTAGAGATTGAGTCTGGGAGGGGTAGTGTGAATAATCAAAAAAGTACTAAATTTGAATTAAATTTTTGCTGGAAGGTATTGTAACTGAGGAAAAAAACTACTTGATTTGGTTTGGATATTCTGTTTTAATTTGTACAATTAACCTTTTTGTAACAATTTTATTTTATACCAAATTTTATCTTATTAATTAATTTCTTTCTGGGAGGGGTAATTGTATAGGGTTTGTTTCTCTCTACAATTTCCTGTTTCACAATATACCGTTTGTGTCGGGGAAGGGATCATAGTTTCATAGTTGTCGATTTTCGAAAGAAATCAGTACATGTATATTATTTCGTATATTTTTCATTTTATTGATTTTATGGAAAGCACTGTTCATTAAAATGTTGTATCCTACGTTATAGGGCTTGTTTCTCTCTACAATTTCCTGATTCACAATGTACCGTTTGTGTCGGGGAAGGGATCATAGTTTCATCGTTGTCGATTTTCGAAAGAAATCAGTACATGTATATTATTTCGTATATTTTTCATTTTATTGATTTTATGGAAAGCACTGTTCATTAAAATGTTGTATCCTACGTTATAGGGCTTGTTTCTCTCTACAATTTCCTGTTTCACAATGTACCGTTTGTGTCGGGGAAGGGATCGTAGTTTTATAGTTGTCGATTTTCGAAAGAAATCAGTACATGTATATTATTTCGTATATTATTCATTTTAGTGATTTTATGGAAAACACTGTTCATTAAAATGTTGTATCCTATGTGATAGGGCTTGTGTCTCTCTACAATTTCCTGTCTCACAATGTACCGTTTGTGTCCGGGAAGGGTTCATAGTTTCATAGTTGTCGATTTTCGGAAGTAATAATTAAAATAAATTAATTTCTTTCTGGGAGGGGTAATTACCCCCATTACCCCTCCCGTATATGCGCCCCTGTTTCTACGTTATAGTACCTACGTTTAAGGTCCCTGAAATTTATTTTTGTACTTTAAAACTGTTCGAATGAGGCAAACGCCTATATAACGTTTAAAAAATACCATTTGACATTGACAAAATTATAAGATGACAACTTAAGATACGCTGGTATTTGCCTGATTGTAAGCTGTTCAGTTTTAATTTAAAAATAGATGCAGTTTTTCTTAAATTAGTTAAAATTGGCTGCAAAGTTGTTCAAATTGGGCATGTGTATTCAGCATACGCAGACTTTGAAAAAAACTGTTTACCATTCATATCGCTGTAAAATTAACAGGGGAGCCAATATCTAGAGAGTTCAAAATTTGCATGGGAGGGATTTCCTATATTTCCAACAACGATGCACCAATATAGACGATATTGATGTTATATTGTAAGGCCAGTATTACACTACCAAATTTCCTTGTCAAAGATTTTTTTTTAAGAGATATCTGATGAAAAACTTTTTTTAAACGAAATTTTATGTATCTCTATCTGAAATGGTAAATTAAAATAAATTTTGGAAAAAAATATAAAAAATAATCTTACCGTATCCGCCACCTCCGCCGCTAGATTTCCAGCCACCACCTTCAAAATTCAAAATTCCAGTATTAATATTAGAAATACTACTCAATTTTGTATACATTTTTGTATAATTTGTTTTTTTTTGTATAATTCGTTTTGTTATAGTTAAAGTGTTTACATGGTTATAAAAGACGAGCTAGAAACTATACAAACTCGCATAGTAAAACACTAATTCACCACAATACACCAAAACACTTTACTTTGCACTGGACGCGCGTTTCACTACCCATGTTAGCATCATCAGCAGATCATTAAAACTGCAGAGCTGACAGTTTTGATCATCTGCTGATGATATCATGGTTACCGAAATGCGCGTCCAGTGCAAAAGTAAAGTATTTTGGTGTATTGTGGTGAATTAGTGTTTTATTTTCCTGTTGTAACACCAAAGGTTCCAACCCTCAACTCTAATATACAAACTATCTAAACATCCAGTTATTTTCATGGAATTGTTACGGTTAAAGTCCGATGTCCGGTTAATGTCGACATTAACAGATTAATTTTTGGGTTAGGTTATGTTTTTGGTTGTTTTGTTGTGTGTTATTCTCGAGATTAACCGGGTAATGTCCACATTAACCGGACATCGGACCTTAACCGTAAGAGAATGATATATGATGATGATATACAGGGTCGCTGTAATGTATGGAAACGGTCGATTATTAGCTCAAATATAGGAGGTACCGCAAAAAGTTAAATACAAAAATTATAGGATTTTTAAATATCTATTAGCGAGTAATAAGTTTTAGTATACAAGATCGGTCATAAAGTCGTGGCGCATAAAAGTTTCATTTTTTTTAAATAGAACCACTGTTCTGAACAAACACCCCTGTATATTACTGCATATTTCAATTCTTTCTTCAATTCTAAGCAAAAATCGCAATATACACAATGTACCTCAAACCAACCGTTTCCGAGTTATTGACTTCTGAAAATATCACTTAGACAATTTGATTTAATTAATTTCTATATGTTCAGTTTCATTTAACGATGCCATTCTGCCGAAACTGTGATACTTAATAATATTTGACATTAGTTCTCATGTTAGCATTTATAGATGTATAAAATGAGAGTAGGTATATAGCAAGTCTGGAAATTACAAAATTTTCGTTTAACATTTCAATTCTTCAATTTATGTACATTGTGTATTACGATCATTGTTTAAAATTGAAGGAAGAATTGAAATATGCAAAAATATACAGGGGATTCCATTTAAAAAAAAATAAAGTTTGATGTGCCACAACTTTATGACCAACCCTGTATACTTAAATTTACTAGTAGCTAATAGGCATTTAAAAACTCATTACAACACTATCACGATTCGGTATCATCAAATGAAACTGAACATATCGAAATTAATTAAATCAAATTGTTGAAGTGATATATTCAAAAGTCAATAACTCGGAAACGGTTGGTTTGAGGTACATTGTGTGTAGATATTTCAATTTTTGCTTAGAATTGAAGAAAGAATTGAAATATGCAGTAATATAAAGGGGGTTCTATTTTAAAAAAATGAAACTTTTATGTGCCACGACTTTATGACCGACCCTGTATACTTAAATTTATTACTCGCTAAAAGATATTTAAAAATCCTAAAATTTAGTGTTTAACTTTTTGCGGTACCTTCTGTATTTTACCTAATAATAATAATCGACTGTTTCCATCGTCATGTTTTTCAATTACTAAAAAAAATTTTTTTTTTAGTAAAAAAATACTAAATTTTCAGAAAACTATAGTGTTTAATATACAAAAGAGTATTTCCGTGGCTTGTTTTATAGAAGTCTGTGTCACAAAGTTTGTCTATTTTTTTATTAAGAACAACTATGATTAAATAAATATTCTCACCGTATCCGCCGCCTCCAAATCCACCGCCGCCTCCGGATTTCCAGCCACCACCTTAAAATTATCAACATTAAAAACTGGATATTATGTTTTTTATTACAGTAGTCATGGGGGCACTTGTACCGGACAGACAGCCGATATAGAAAAATAGGAGGGTGAATTAAAACATGTAAAGTCAGTTAAAAACCCCCAATAAACCAGAATAAACAGATTTAAACAAGAAACAACCACACAAAAACAAAAACCAACTGGTTTAAAGAAGAAAAACAGGTCTGGATTTTAAGCATTTTGGTTACTATTTTCTTACTTTAAGCGGTCGTTTCCTTTTTAGACCTGTTTATAATTATTGATTGTCGTTTTTTAACTCCTTTTATATGTTTCGCATTACCCTCCTATTTATCTATATCGACTGTCTGTCTGGCACAAGTGCCTCCATGACTACTTATTTTACGTTTGTTTACCTCCGTAACTTCCACCACCTCCAAAGCTGCCACTGCTTATCTTCCATCCTATAAAATTTATTTATTTAAACATACTGTATAATCTACAAAAAAAAGGGCATTGAGTAAGCTTGAAAATGACGATCGATGACATTCCCGATATAATTTTACATATAAAATGGCAGCGATCTTCATTTCTAAGTCAACTCTGATATAGACTTTTTTCGATCGCATGGTGTCCTATGATCGAAAAAAACGGCGTCCAGTTGGCTTGGAAATGACGATCGATGACATTCCCCATATAATTTTATATGTAAAATGACAGCGATCTTCATTTCTAAATACTAAAAACCGTATTTTAGTTTTTAATCGTCTGCTGTTGATGCTGACACGGTTAGCGAAACGCGCGTTCAATGTAAAAGTAAAAAGTGTTTTGGTGTATTGTTGGTGATTTAGTGTTTTATTTTGCTGTGTAACACCAAAGGTTCGAACCTCCAACTGTAATTATTTTGCATGGTTTATTCTATTCTATTAATAAATAGAAAATTTATATTTTTTTTCAAACGCCACAAAAGTATTAGTTTCTTCGACGTGATTGACAATGTAAAATAAGTCATTTTAACGCCTAGGCACTTAACGTAAAGCACTTTTACGCCTAAGCATAAAAGTATGAAAATATATTACTAAACTGACAAGTGTCAAATTCAACGAGCGTAACCATAGTTTCTCGACATATAATGACTTATAAGGTATCATTTTTAAATATTTTTATGTTATTTGGAACGTTTGAAATTGTATAAAAAAATTATTTGTAGCGTTTCAAAAAAAATAGCTTGTTCTATTCGGAGTAAAAATGACTTTTTGTGCCTCGCCTGTTCGTCAAACGTGCCTCGCAACAAAAAGTCCCATTTTTACTCCTAATAAAACATTATACTATTACCGAATTATTTTACTATGAAAATTAAAGAAAAAATATTTGTTTAAATTTAAAATTTTGAGTATCACTGGATTTTTTATGGATTTTAGTTAGGGTTTTAACAAAAAATAAAAAAAATGTCGAAAAAACACAAACTTAAAAAAAATTGTGCATCGGAGTTAGTTTAGTTTCATGTCATATATGCAAAAATAATGTAAATCCCCGATAAAAAAACCTAAGAAATATAATTTAAAAATTAACCATGTATGTATAGTTTGCCATATTGTGTTTGCTAAGCTAATATGGATAAATCAAAGAATACGACCTCGTTACAAGTCTAACCAGAAAATCTTCTTAAATGACATTGGCGTTTAGTAGTATAAAATATTTTTTAATTAGTTTGGCCGTAATCAGTAAACATAAAACACCAGTAAATTACATAAAATATCTATAAATGGAAAAACTATAAAAAAATACCTGACAGTAGCATTGTTAGTCCATCGCATTGGTAAAATGTCTTAGAATATTATAAAATAAATAGAATATTTTAATGTAAAAATAAAAATAAAATAAACTTACCTCCACCGCCACCCCCGTATCCTCCACCACCTCCGCCGCCATATCCACCGCCTCCACTAAGGAAACCAGCTGAAAATGAAATGACCGATGTATTAATTGACTTTAAAAAAATGCCTATACAAATATGTATATCAATATTTAGCTAAATATATTAAGATAAACATTTTTAATTATATTACCAAACCATTTAGAAAAAAGTTAAAAAAAATAATTCTCTATCATATGAATTAAATAAATTATCAATCATTATAAGCAGGGGCGGATACAGGAATTTATTTTAAGGTGGGGGCAAATAAAAAATAATGTAGAATATGCTTTTTAGGGCGCTATTTTTAACCCAAAAGGCTAATATTTAACCCAATTTATAGATTTTCCTCTGTATCCGCCACTGATTATAAGAGTATTCTGGGCCATCATGTATACCGGATGCGTCTCAAAAGTGGCTCATCCCCTATAACTTTTTTATTTTTTCACATAAAAAAAACGAGATTTGGTATATTAGTATATGACATAAATCCGGACTGATTGGCATATTCAATTGTTTTCAGTGACTTCCTGTTTCACCGGAAATGACTACAACTTTTGATTTTTAAATGACACCCTCGGTATTTTTTTACTTTATTTGATAGAAAATGACACTATGAATAGAATGGCATATCATATGTTAACTTTTGAGATTTGCGCATATGCTTTATTTGAAATTGTAACATGCGGTTCATAACAACAATTTGATACGAAATTCCGTACCAAATTATTCGTAAAAAATGCTCTTTTCCAGATATACTAATGAGCCACCCTTGTTCCATTTGAAAAAAATTGAAATATGATTAAAAATACGATTTGGACATCTTTTAACGGCCCAGGACAAGACACGGAAAACATTAGACGATCAAATCTATTTTTGCAAGGCTCCTTGATTAAAAATTAGTGTTTTTAACACAGCCATGGCACTCTACATTGAAATTTAAAATACGATTTTTTTAAAGCGAAAATGTCAAAAATTGACATTTATGATATGTCATTCTATTCAGAATGTCATTTTCTATCGAATAAAGTAAAGAATACCGAGGGTGCCATTTAAAAATCAAAAATTGAAGATTTGGTGTGTTAATATATGACATAAATTAGGATTGATTACCGTATTCAATTGTTTTTGGTCACTTCCTGTTTCACCGGAAATGACTACTTCCGGTGAAACAGGAAGTGGCCAAAAACAGTTGAATACGGTAATCAATCCTAATTTATGTCATCATATACTAACATACCAAATCTCGTTTTTTATCTGAAAAAATAAAAAAGTTGTAAGGGTGAGCCACTTTTGAGACGCACCCGGTATAAGAAAGAGAAAAATATTTAACACTTTAAATACTAAGTTCCAGTTAAATTTTGTTGTTTTACTATTTTAAGAACGAACTATTAAAAAATATTATTTTCAAAAAGAACTCGGTTATTAAAAAAATATATAATTTATAACAATTGAATATCGATATAAAAACAAGAAATGTACAGGAGTCTTAAATAAATGAAAATATTCTTAAAGGCGGTATATTTCGACTTTCAGAATTTCGCGAAAAAAGGTTGTAGTCGGGAAATTTTCTTTTTGGAAAATTTGGTATTGTTCGGAAATTTTTTTGGATTTTTTTTTAATTTTAAGTTGAAAAACATAGTAGTAAATTAAATTTATAAGAATGAAAACCCAGGAAACATCCAGTGGCTCTCAAAATTTAAGCAAAATCTCATTCTTTTTTACAGTAAAATAACTCGGTTATTTTTGACTTATTTGAAAAACGGTAAAGAGGAAAAAATATGTTTTTTTTTATCGAGATCTACCAGCCCTGAAAATATTTGCACTTATTTAAGATTCACCCTGTTTAAAAAAGTAGAAAACCTTATAAATTTATATATAAAATGACAGGAATGTCTGACGCCGTTTTTTTTTATCGTATTGTATATGCGAAAAGAATGGAACTAGTATATTTTATATATCAAGTGGGTCCTTTAGGTTGCTTTAGGGGTTTAGGTTTATTAAAATATATTACATTGTATATCGTTAAATATATTTTGCTAGAATTCTTTAAATAAATATAAAATTAATTCTAATATTAAATAATAAGACAAAAATTGTAAAAATAAAAACCTATAATTAATATTGCCAGTATATCACTTCAAAAAAATCTGTTTCTTGTTACTTTATTTAATAAAAATATAAGAATTAATCAAAATAAAAACCTAAACTTCCTTCAAAATATACTATAAATTTCCATAACAACATGCAAAAAGAAGAAATTCAGTACAAAAAATGAGAAACATAAAATTAATTTTAAATCTTTTAATATGGCGTTGGCCAATTATTAAATAATAAAATATAAAATAATATTTTCGAAAAGTATGAAAAAGAAAATAAAAAAAAATAAAAAAAAAATAATAAAAATAAAAAATTACCTTGGGCGTAGCTGGCTACCGCAGCTACGATGAGCAAGCACACAAAGGCCTAAAATAACGAGGAAAAATTAATAAAACAATAAAAAAATAAAATTAACAAAAAAATTAATAATTAAAAACACACTTCACGAATAACTATTTTAGGAAAATGTTGTGTTTGTTTTTGTTTACCTTCATGTTTAAGTCCAAGAGGTGAGTGACTTGTTGAATCTCATCTCCAATCTGTTTATATATAGTGGAGATTGGGAACCTTGGGGCCCCCCTTTCCAACCAAACGTTCCCCTAGCGCATCCCCCCGTTTTTCGATATGCCCACTTTAAATTACAATAATTATTTCGATATTTGCGATGCAGCTCGTTGTTAAATTTCATGGTTCTTCGCCGGTGTACGTACGGTACCGGTACCTTCCTCCTCTTACTCTAATCCCATCGGCGGGTTTCTTGACCATGTAATCGGCGTTTGCACAATTCGGTACCATTTTGCGGTGATTTTTTTTCGTTAAAACGGATTTGAGCCGATTTGTTTAGACTAGAAAGTGAAACAGGAGTATAACACATGTAAAATTTTAACATAGTCATATTGTAGCTGTTTTTGAATTGGGCCATCAAAAACTTATAGTAACTCATCATTTTCACAAATAGTAACCCACCTTATTTATTTGATTAACAACTTTTTTACTTGTACAGACACTGTATTTATTGTACACAATTATTTGTCACTCGTCGCGGCGAATGAGCGAAAATCTTGTTGCAAAAAAATGTGGTTTACGAAGATAGTATACTTGCCAAGTATGCAAATATTGGCGTACTTGCCATTTACATGAGTCGTGAGAATCCGCATTAATAATAATAAGTATAGTGAAATAAACCGCCCTCAACTTATTTCCAAAGAGCCATGTACAAAAACATGCAAATGAGTTTGCTGAAGTTTTCTGAAGACTCATGTTTTCAAAATCGATTGCATTTTAGTGTTAAAAAGCAAAGGTACAGTCAGCAGTTCCAGTTCCGTGATATCTGGAGCTGAGAAGCGCGCAAAGGTGTAATTTTAATTTTGACGGCTAAACATTTGTAGATAACATCCGAAATTTGCAAATTTGGAATATCTCGCTCTCGACTCGTCAGGTTGCTGTACGCACCTTTAAAGCGTCGCCGACTTTTTTTTGCCCTCGCCCAATTTAACTATAACAATTTTGCAACGCTATGATAACACCATATTGTAGAACAAAATACGTAGTAATAAGTATGTAACAATTATAGTAGCTTCTGAAGAACGTCTGGATAAAGATAAAGTCTAGATAAAGCATAGGTCTATCATACAGCATGCTTTTGCTAGATACTTGCCAGCTCAGAATTAGAATTCAGAGAAATTTTCTTACATTGATTCAAAGAGTCATTAAAAAACGAAAATAAAATCGCAGATATTGTTTTTTTTTCAGAAATATTCGGATGGTATTCGGAATTTTTAAACTTTTAAAGGGTCATTTGGATCAGAATCAAATTGCGCAACTTTGCCTCCATTTAACTGACCTCGTATCTCTGCTAGGTTCTAGAGGTGGGCAAAGATTGAACGAGTCGTTCGTTTTGACGAGTATTAAAAATGAATCGTGAGATTCGATTCATTGCTTGCAATCCGGTTCGTTCAATTGAGTTAAGCCATTTTTAAATAGTATTTAAAAAAGGCGTCCATTGAACCCAAAGAGACCTGATTTGTAATACAAAAGCCAAAATAGACTTACAGTCTTGTTGCTTTGACTTTTGTATTTAAATAGTATATAAATTGCATTGATAATTTAATATTATTGGTAAAATAATCAATCCAATTACGTCAGTGTCATATAAAGTGTTGGAAAACAACTGGTCTGGTCTCTTAAGTAATTGTCCTATCAAATTATCGCCGGTAGTGCCAGTTACGATCTTGTTTTTATGAAACGTAAATTGTGCATGTGGTTCGTTCAAATGAACGAATCGTAGGAGTCGATTCAATATGAGAAATTGAATTCTGTGATTCGATTCACTAAAAAGAATCGTAATGCCCATCACTACTAGGCTCCTAGAGATGCGTATGATGAGGCTCAAATTTGGGACACTCTGTACAATACACCCTAAGTTTAAAGCATAGAGAAACATCGCTTTAAAAAATTAATCAGCAAGATTTCTTCAACATTCGAAAAGATAGCAATTACCTATCTTTTCTAGTCGAGCAAATCGTTTACACAACGTCCAAACTAGTTAATTTTGGTTTATTTGTATTTCTTTCTAATCATTAATTTATTAACACATAATAATAGTATAATTAGAGCAATAATCAATAATAAAAATCAGTTTCTTGCGTTGTTTAAATAAAATTTCTTAATTCGCCAAAAGGAAAAAATTAGCGCGAAAACAGAAATACGTCTGCCCGCAAACTGCATAAGTGATTTCGTCAATTTATTTATTGCTAGTAATTAGACTTAATTGTATGTGTTTGAAAATTATTTATTGGAATGGATTTAAAAGGTATATTTGTATTTTTTGGCATCGAAGATTTGCTAATTATAATGAATAAAATAATTTTTTTTTTATTATTGGTTTATACCATTTTCATCTGAGGTTTACTGTATATTCAACCGTTTATGTCGGGTCCAGACCAAGGTGACAAAAAATAAACACGACTTTGAGACAAAAACAAGACAAACTTGTCACAAAAAATGGAGACTTCTGACAAGACAAACTTGAGACAAATTATCCACGCCGCAATGACAAAAGTACAAAAAAGTCAAAAGTTTAGTTATTGCGAATGAGGTTTTGAGTTTTATTAACCATGTGTGATTTCACTGGTCTCCTACTGTTGGCAGCACACGCTACCCACACTGCGTCGACAACTTGTCGCAAAATATACGAACAAAACATAGACACTTTGATCTTTACCGAGACGGGACATTGAAAAGTCTCCGAATTTTGAAACAAACAAAAATGAGATAAAAATGTATTAGATTTCAACCTAACAACTTTGTCCTAAAACATGAATGTTTCTGACTTGCACTGTTTCGTCTGCTTGGTCGGGCCCGGCATTAGAGACTATCTAGCGTTACCCACCGTCCTCTATATCAGGGGATTTTTTTCATATTGTTTTTGTTCATTTTTCTCTCGCATTATGAAAAAGGTTTTTAAATACCGAACTTAAAACGATGTACTTAAACAGCCGTTAAACGGTAGCCTACTAAAATGCCGTTTATAGATATTGTAATGTCGTTCATGTCGGCGGAAAGTAATGCCTACCTATAAGCATTTTGCAAGAGTACCTGTGGCTCCGTGGCTGAGGCTATCGCTTCGTGAGTGCATGGTCCGTGGTTCAAATCTCACTCTCACCAGACTTTTTTATATTTTTTTTGCTTATAGCGTGATCTTATTGCATTATGGTTTCACTCGTTTTGGTTGGATTGGTTTGGTTCAGTTTACTTATTTGGCGGGTTGGTTAGCGTGGTTATTTGGAGGGTGTTAATTCATTGGTTAGTTGGTTATTTGGTGGGGTTGGTTGGTTTTTACTAATTTATATTTGTTTTTTATATTTTTTTATCAGTATCGAGGTTAGTTGCGTTGGTTAAGTTGGTTATTTGGTGGGGTGGATAGCGTTGGTTAGTCCTTATAAAATTCCTATATTTCATAAAGCCCGTCAAGTGCGTCACATCAACGACGTCATACCTATTAACGGCATTTTAGTAAGCTACCGTTTAACGGCAGTTTAAGTACAGCCAACTTAAAATCTAAAAAATGTTTGTCTATCGCCACAATGCTTAATAAAATTGTTAATATGACAACAATGCGTCTTTTGCTACTCTTAGTACACGTAAAAAAATATTTGGTGGAAGCGAAAAACATGATTAGCTTTTTTATGTTTACTTTCTTATAATACTTACTTTCCTATAAATAAAATAATCTTAAACCATACTGAGTGGTCAAAATTCTATGTCACTCTTTCTAAAGTATAAAATAGTTTTTCTTTTTTTTTTAATGGAACATTCTATATATTTTTTTTGTGAGATGGAGAATTAAAAAATGAACATTTTTTTGTATTTAAAGTATTTCAAAGTTTTTAACGGTTTTGCGAATATTTGTAATGTGGGCAGAGCCATATGTAATATAAACAGGGTATATACAATATACAGGGTGTTCCATAAAAAAAGCAAAGAAAAATTATTTTTTATTTTAGAAAGTTTGACTAATATTTTGAACACCCTGTATAGTTTTAGATTACAATATTTATAGCAAAGTAAATACAGAGCGACTATAGTAAATACCTAGTATAGTTTTGATTTCAGGACATTTCTTGTATTTATAATAAATGTTTTATATACCGGGTGCCTCTCAAAAGTGGCTCACTCCTATACTTTTTTTATTTTTTCAGATAAAATACGAGATTTGGTATGTTACTATATGATATAAATGAGGAATCGTTGACATATTCAATTATTTTTGGTCACTTTCTGTTTCACCGGAAATGACTACAACTTTTGATTTTTAAATGGCACCCTCGATATATTTTTACTTTATTATACATATAGACAATGACACACTGATTATAATAATATAATATCATATGTCAACTTTTGACATTTTCGCATATAGTTCATTTGAAATTGTAACATGCGAATCATAATGACAATTTGACTGGAAATTCCAAGTGTGTGGTACCAAATTATTCGTAAAAAAATGCTCTTTCCAAATATGCTAATAATCGAGCCACCCTTGTTCCATTTGAAAAAATTGAGATATGATTTCAAAATCGATTTGGGAATCTTTTAACCGTCCAGGACAAGACATGGAAAACATTACATGATTAAATATATTTTTCAAAGACACCTTGATTAAAAATTAGTGATTTTAACAGGGCCACGGCACTCTAGATTGAAATTTAAAAACCGATTTTTTTAAACGAAAATGTCGAAAGTTGTCAATGATATGTCAAATGATATATCATTCTACTCAGAGTGCCATTTTCTATCGAATAAAGTAGAAATATACCGAGGGTGCCATTTAAAAATCAAAAGTTGTAGTTATTTCCGGTGAAACAGGAAGAGACCAAAAACAACTGAATAGGTCAATCAATCCTAATTTATGTCATATAGTAACATACCAAATCTCATGTTTTTATCTCAAAAAATAAAAAGTTATAGGGGTGAGCCACTTTTGAGACGCACCCGGTATATTATAGAAAGGCTGAAAAAATATATTTTTTTATTTCTTTTTTAATATTTCTGAAACTATCAAAGCATATTAGTGTTCCAGTTAAAAAACAATCATCCTGATCAACTTCCACTTTTTAGAGCCACCCTGTAGAAGTTACAATATTTTTCAACATACTTCAGGTTTGCAGTTACCTTCCTACCCTGTATTTGTGTTTGAGTAGAATATCTATCTCTGTGTATTACATTATACATTACATTGGTTATATCAGCAATCACAAGAGGTGCACACATGCACTTTTTATACAGTGCGAGTCTCTAAATTTGAATTAATTGAGCAAAT